TAGTTGTTTTGTACAAGTTGTCATACCGATATCTGTAGCATGCCGGCCTCTAGCTACATTATTAAAGTGCTTCTATAATCGTTGGTTCTTACAGAAAACTTTGTGAGCTAGTCTAGACTAACACATACTAAAAATCTAATCATGACAGGCTAGTGAGTCAGTTTTTGGAAATATACATTCTAAACTGCAACTGTTCGCTTTCAGAACTTCAACAGGATACAATCTTACTGAATTTCTTAGTAACAAATTATTTAAATATTCTCATTCAGTGAGATGAGTTCAACAGTTGTCCACTAACTCATAGTTCAATACACTCTACTTAACCACCAACCCATCTATTCATCAACTAACTTTATTTGTTATGCTCACATGTGACGTTCGAGGCTGATACGTTAACCCAATATCATTGCCCCTTCCCACCAATATCTACCATTAGTCAATAACACCAGATAACTCATACTGAAAATTTTTCTTAGGACTTTTTTAAGTCGTTAGAAATAATTTGTAATGATTCGTAACGATGGTCAAACATTTGATTCATTGTGTGGCTATTGTAAATAGATCTTATCATAATTATAATATCATTTTACTTTGATTATATTTTACTGTAAATTTGATGTTTCATTGTTGATGAAACATTCGAAATAATAATCCTAATGATATGTTGATATATATGTACATAATATGAAATTAAAGAATTACTAAATAAGAACTTTCGTGTAAATTTGATTGAATAGTTTCACAGTATTTGGGCGTCGAGTTGATGTGAGACATTAAAGGGAAAGAATGTATTCGTAAAATCTCAGCGAAAGAATTTGAAGTAAATCCAACGTTTCGCCTGGCAATCTGGTTCAAGCGTTTTCAAAGAAATATAATCAAACATCAAAATTATCAAATATGAATACGTACATGGTTCTCCGGTTCACTGTATACTGACTATGTCATTTAATCAACGTTAACAATTTTTGAAAGTAGATATTTGCATTATTGTGCAGGAGACATGTGTTGTGAAACGAAAAGTGTTAAGATAGCTATTGGATCATCGGTTTCGCCAGTTGTTCCATTCGTTGGAAACCAGTGCTATGTCAATGTGTTCCTTTCCGCCGAAAATTTGGTTAAGATACGTAAATGACACTTTGTTATTATAAAACGAAATGGTTTAGACGAACTATTTAAACATGTCAACAACATTTATGAAAAAAAAGTTCTCTAAGGAGTTGGGATCTCCTGAACAGAAATTACCTGTTCTAGACTGTTTAGTTGAAGGGAAATATAATGATTGTTTAAAAATCAGTGTTTTCCTAAAGCCGACATATTCAAAGAAAGTTCTAGAATTTAAGTCAGTGCATCCACACTCTACCAAAGTAACAGTAGCCAAAAATTTAATCACCGCAGTTCAAAAACCTATCACTGAACCAAATGATATAGAAATGAAAATGAATTTAATTATATCCACCCTAATGCTGAATAATTATCCGAAGGATTTTATTAAAAGAATAATTAAGAATGAAGAACAAAACGATATTATCAAAAAAATGGTTAAGCAAAAAGAATGGATTAACACAGCGGTGACCCCATATCATAAAGGTATTTCAGAAGAGATCGGAAGGATTCTAACTTTTCAAAATATAAGAGTATTCTTTCGAACAAACAATACTCTAAGATCAAAACTAGTACAAATAAAAGATCCAATACACAAGGAGGAACAACAGAATTATGTTTATTCTTACAAAGAAAGACTAACAGCCGAAGCCCCAAATATATGGGCTAATCCAAACAGTATTAAAATAGGAGAAATGGAATACAACTAGCTGTCCCATGGCAAATAATAATTAATAAATAAACCTGAACTCCTTATTTCATTCTACCTACCTCGTATTAACTACAAAACAGATATTACATTCAACGGTTCAAATCAGTTACCTTATCTGAATATATTAAACAATTGACTCGAACATTAAAACATCACAAACTTTCAATTACAAATACATCCTTCCTCTTTGAATTCATTCTTTTATCTTGTTTATTTGTCTTCATTTTATGCAAGATGTGACATTTTTGATGCATATCATATACAAAAATTATGTGTTTTCTTAATATTCACCGACCAAAGACAATATACAGTGAACACTTTTCGTTTCACAACACATGTCTCTTACACAATAATGCAAATACCTACTTTCAAAAATTGTTAACGTTGATTAAATGACATAGTCAGTATACAGTGAACCAGAGAACCATGTACGTATTCATATTTGATAATTTTGATGTTTGATTATATTTCTTTGAAAACGCTTGGACCAGATTACCAGGCGAAACGTTGGATTTACTTCAAATTTATTCCCTGAGATTTTACGAATACATTCTTCCTCTTTAATAAAGAATTGCTAATTTTATTTTTTGCTGAGATGTAGCATATTGTTGATACTCTCAGTTAAATTCAGTCTGGTCCAATGAAAACGTGTCAGGTTTTATACAAATAATCAAAATAAAATATTTCAGAAGCTACTTGTTAATTGGCATAGACAGATACACTAGTGTACACGGAATGACACAGCCAGATCAATATAGGAAAGGAGTGGTGGTTTATGGAGATTACTGAGTTTTCTAGTTTGCATCGTGGACTGATCTTAGACCGCCATTAAGAAGCAGGCAACAGCAGACGGCTGTTTCGTCTTAGTACTGAACTCCAATATTTTCTTGTTTTTAACGATAGTTTAGGGTCAGTCATTTAAGAATTCAATAGGATTGTTTTGATGAAGTTCAACGTCAGCCGAACTATTTCTCGTATAGTTTTAATTTTCCTAGAACGTATGGATAAGCGTTGTTCACAGAAAGAATAAGAGTGTACAAATCAGCTGAACTGTCTTCAGTGCACTGAAAATTCTAATTTTAAGTGGTTTCTGCTATTCAACTAATAGTTGGGGATAACGGTATAGACAACACATGCTTGGATATTTTCTGGAATTGAGTTCAATAATTAAATGTAGTGATAGCCGTAGATGATTGTGTTATGGTATTTGATTTACATCAGAAATAAATTCCTACTACAAATTTTGTACATTATTCATTTCACACTTTGAAATGATGGAGTGAGTTGGCGCAATGATAGCTAATATCGTAATTTGGAATAAAACTAACCGATAATGAAGTTAGATTGCTTCACAGAAAGTGTACTGTTGTTCACGCGAACTGTAGGTATATTAAATGGCAACATTATGTCTATGTTTACTCATGACATAATTTAAAGTAACGGGACTTTCTTTTATCTAACTAAACGCGGACTCAAATTGTTGATTCCCATCTTGTCTAGATCATATCCATTTCCTGAAAATCGTTTTGTGATCACTTTAATTGCAAACTTGAGACTTTGAACTGTCTTTTCCCAAATAACTTTAATCAACGTATGCTAACACAGTAGTTTTGTATGTAACCAGCTTAATGTAGCCTTAGTTCAGATATTGGATAAAATATGTTACAAAATGACATTTGTCTTTTACAACGAAGGATCAGTTCGATAAGTTTCATTTAGATTCTTTCCACTAGGTAGTAGCAAGTTTTTCAGACTACTGCAACATTATGTACTCTAATGGACTCCTCTCTTAATTTATAAGGAAAAAGTTGTGGATCCTACCAGTTTTATAACAATTCACCCGTGCTTCATCTCAGATCAAGTGTATCCTCAACTTCTTATTCGCACATATTTATAAGCCATTGTAATGGGGGTTAGGCGACCGAATTATTGATGTCTGTTTCCTACAAATACATTAAGACGAATGTGTCAAAATTTAAAATAATTTTCACACCAACATTACAGCCGTGAGCCTAAACAATGTACTGTTGTCGAAGCAATCCACTTACTTCGGGATCAAAAACCAGTCTATACTCAAAGTATGATATACACCAAATACGTATTTAAAGTTCCATTTCAAGTTTAGACACCCAATCATCTAGACAGACAGAGTAGCTTCAATAATTAACCAATCATAAATTGCATATGTCAGGCTGATTGATATTTCGTGGTCTCAAGTCTCATAGTATTTTTTTTCTTACTAAAAAATTAAGGTATCTTTTTTACCGGAGTAGGCAGACCGAAATTCAGACCCACAAAAGGAACGTTTAATAACTGATCAATAATGAGGGCAACCAATAAATTATCTGGGCAGATAGCTAATAAATTAGCATTGGTAATTGTTACATTATTGATTGAGCAAGCCGTTTACTGATTGGCCGATTTCATAAATGCAAAGTTAGCCATTTATGGTCATTTCATCAAACGTATTTAGCAAAGTGAATCAAGTGTCTCACCACTTAGAGATATGGCTGAGGAAGAAGTTGCTGCTCTTGTTATCGACAATGGGTCTGGTATGTGCAAAGCTGGCTTCGCCGGAGATGACGCTCCCAGAGCCGTGTTCCCCTCCATTGTTGGAAGACCTAGACATCAAGGAGTGATGGTGGGAATGGGTCAGAAAGACAGTTATGTAGGAGATGAGGCTCAATCGAAACGTGGTATCCTGACTCTAAAGTACCCGATTGAACATGGTATTGTGACTAACTGGGATGATATGGAGAAGATATGGCACCATACATTCTACAACGAGTTGCGAGTGGCTCCAGAAGAACACCCAGTGTTGTTGACAGAAGCCCCATTGAACCCGAAAGCGAATCGTGAGAAGATGACACAGATCATGTTTGAGACTTTTAATGCTCCAGCTATGTATGTTGCTATTCAGGCGGTGTTGTCACTGTATGCATCTGGTCGTACAACTGGTATCGTGTTGGACTCAGGTGATGGTGTGACCCACACGGTTCCAATTTACGAAGGTTATGCATTGCCTCATGCCATTTTGCGTTTGGATCTTGCTGGTAGAGATCTTACTGACTATATGATGAAGATCCTGACTGAGAGAGGTTACAGTTTTACTACTACTGCTGAACGTGAAATTGTCCGAGATATAAAGGAGAAACTTTGTTATGTTGCTTTGGATTTTGAGCAGGAGATGGGTACTGCAGCATCGAGTTCTGCTTTGGAGAAGAGTTACGAACTTCCAGATGGTCAAGTTATCACCATTGGTAATGAACGATTCAGATGTCCGGAAGCTCTTCTCCAACCTAGTTTCCTGGGGATGGAATCCGCCGGTATTCATGAGACCACTTACAACTCCATCATGAAGTGTGATGTAGATATACGAAAGGATTTGTATGCAAACACAGTATTGTCAGGTGGAAGTACAATGTATCCCGGTATTGCTGACCGTATGCAAAAGGAGATTAGTGCTCTAGCCCCCAGTACTATGAAGATCAAGATAGTTGCACCACCTGAGAGGAAGTACTCTGTATGGATTGGTGGTTCTATTTTGGCTTCATTATCAACATTCCAACAGATGTGGATTTCCAAACAGGAATATGATGAATCTGGTCCCGGTATTGTTCATCGCAAATGCTTTTAATTTTTGTTTGTAATAAATTTATCCTCATTATTTCATGCTCTGTATCTTTATGTAGTGATGAGTTATTGTTTGGGGGTAGTTCTCTAGTCTTTTCAGTGTATTTACTCACATTATGTGCTGTGATTATTGTCTGTCCGGCATATATGGGGTGAGTCTATGTTGTTCATATAGGTTGAAGGATCTCAGATCGGCCTCTTAGACACAATGTGTGACGTTGGTACCGTGGTCCTCATGGATGCCATCCATGTGTTCTTGACCCTATTTAGTTACACTCGTGCGCCTCGGTGTTGTGGGTTTTGCAATCTATAGGTGTAGGAGTTTGCTGCGTTCTAGTGTTTGGCTGTGATTAGGTAAGAGAAGAATTTAACGCTTTAAAGGTTACCTATATATATCGCATCCGTTTCTCGCTTTTGTCTGGAAGTCCCCTTCTAGAGTCGATGGCAAAAACCTCTAGGTTGTTTAGCGAGGTTAGGGCGTGTAGGTCACATAACTTATTTGAGTGAGATTAATTCTGTGTCTGTAGTCATGTTAGAGCTGCCTGCAGTGCTTGACTCCCGGGCCTGTCATAAGTAATCTAAGGCGCGGGTAGTTGTCACTGGAGATCCGTTGCTGCCACAGGTTTTGAAGTAAGTGTATTGAGGGGTTCCTACGCGGCTTGTCAACTTCCGAGATCTTGTGTTTGGTCCATTAACTGGGCCTTACTTCCAGCGAAGGAATGTCCGTGTAAGTCCTAGTGAGTCTTTTCCCCTTATGACCATTGGTCCTGAAGTCTATAACTTGTCGGCACAAACACTCCTCGTGGACAACAAGTTAGCGTTCTTATTTAAGTATGTCAAGACGCTCGTACTCCAGAGTTGGTGCTATCTGTCGGGTCACCGAGAGCTCTTCTGTTATTTTACATGAACGACAGGTGTTATGGGCGTTAGTAGCTCTAATCATTTCGTCTGGGAGTGCTCGACGCTAGGGAATTATCGCATGGGCTTATCGTAATTCGGGACTTAACGTTCAAATGTAATAAACAGGCCCAAGTCTTATCGAAGGTATGAATTCAGGACAGCTTAGAATTCGCAACTGAAAGGGAGAAGGCATTTCAAGTGCTTTACAACTTCGCCCCTGCATCCGCCTATACGTGGATGTGCTTTGGGTTATCAAACATAACTAGTTTTTGTGCTATTTGGTGGTTCAGTAACCTCAATAGTTATATCTTCCCACTTGCTGGAACTCTAACAGTCTTACTCAATGGTCACGGTTTGGACTGAGGTATGCAGATTAGGTGTACTGACCATCTACCGGATAGCGATGAGTATTATCCCTGCTTCGGTTTGAGCACCCGGGCAGTATCACAGCCTTCACACATATCAAGGGAGATTTGTGTGGCGCATATGTATTTGGTGCCTCCTTGTACCAATATCTATGTGTCAAAATAAATGAATAATGCTCTTCCGTACTAGTTTATTTTTTGTTCGCGGAAGTGATCTCAGATTATTTGAGCATACGTCACATAATAAGCTTCAGAAGGTAGGATATGAACGGAATGACTGATTTAGTGAAACTCCAAATGAAAAGCCCTAATCTTTGGAGATATACTGCATAGGCAGTTTGCACAAATACTTGACCGTTGTGGTGGGTTTTTTTTAATCCTAATGGTTACACAAATTTCAGGGATGTCTGCTGCGTTGTGTACAGAATCTGTCAAACATCTCAAATTATATGGTTTTTATTTACTAAGTAGCTTACAACATCATGGTTGTGCCACAATGTCAGGTCGTAACTTTTCAAATAAAATCCCGAGTAACATCGATACATGTAAAACACTTGCCTACAAAAATACTACTTTAATGTTTTCTGAGTAGGTTGTTTGTTAGATCCATTATTTCAGAGACGAAACATCTTACTCTCATGTCTCGATAAAATCTCAACCCGAAAACCATTGAAATCATTTTGAGTAACGGATTCCGAAAGGTCTATACAATTGCTGCCATGTATATTTTTCAGAATAAAAAATTCAATGTTTGTGGGGATCAATTTTAATAAGCGTCATGATAGATAATGAAACCGTGAAACAAAAACACCGTATTTCCACATATTAGTTTCACGATTAAGAATCCTTATTTTATATGCTGACATCAAATTGACTAGAGAGGCTATAAACTCCAGACACTACGAACCATAGATCAACCAGACAACATATAAAGTCGTAGATCTAAAAATGAATGGTTGTGAACTTATGGAGAACTATAACAAGAAGGGTTAGAATGCAAATCATAACTAGGAGTTTGGATACCACAGCAAACCTGAAGGGGTGTTCGTGGGCGAAAGCCTTCATTGCCAATTTATTCGACATAACTAGACGTAAAATTAATAAAACAATCATATTCATGAGGAGTTGCACGACGAAAACTGTCGGGTCAGAATGGGACAGCACAAAGGTTCACCTCGGAATAGTGAAACTTAATAAAGGTCATCAGTAAATCAAAGAGCAGAAAACAGACACAAAATACAGAAATAGCTGGATTAGGAAATCTGGATGCAGTTTTCGACGGACTCAAAGTTCACAGTACTAACCAGTAACTTGTATAGAGATCGTTTGATGCTCGGAACTAGAACAAACGAATATATGATAGTTTTACAAATGAAATTCAGGTTATGGAGAATTATTTCCTTGTCCTGTTCTAACTTTTTTGAGGTTGTATTACACATGACTAATGTCACTAACTGAATATAAACGTCCAGAAGTACGAGGACAGTACTCAAAATTAGCTATAATGTTGGAAAATTATTAGTTTAGCGAAGATGAGATTCAACAATTTCAATTTATCATTCTGCTCATTTGCAGCCAAGTAATTCGAGGAGATCAATGTCCGAGATGCCTTTTTCTGCAGTTCCTACCATTTAACTACTGAAAAACAGAACATTTAAGCTAAATTAATTACAGATTCCCTTAAAAACTAACTGGCTTTTTCTCAATATAAATGGCTGATTAAACTGTTCACATAACTAATTTCAATTGCCGAGAAATACACAGAGTATTTACATGTTTTAGCATAGACATTTCAGTAGGTTTACTGAGATTCGTTTGAAAATTCTAAGAAAAATAAGGTTATTTTGTAACAAGCTAATCATGAATGACACTAATTACTTTTTTGATTGTGAAGTGCTTTAATCTAAAGCTAGAAAATCATTGAAAAACGGAGCATCTGACGAGTTCGGGACTCCACACCAGTAATACGACACTTAATAATCTTATGTTGAATAGAACCTAAACTAGAGTGGACTTCTGTGATAACCTAGTAGCTAGTGTAGTTTCAGTGAAAAAATCAATCACCATTGATGATATTGAGTGAGGACTAAACAAATTGATTGGAACTGGAAAAAGTAGTCTTAGCGGTATCATAACCACAGTAGGGTCTAGAGGCGAAAAACTAGGACCAGCCCTCACACAAATCGAATGAAGTGTGGTGCCCCCTTGTACCAATGTTTGTGTGCTTAAATAAATGATAAATATAAATAAATAAAAGGACTTTTAAGTTTTCCAGCTCGTTTAAGTTGGGTACAGAAAATATAATTTCCACGAGCAATATAAAACCAGTGGTAACTAAGCATTTTTTCTTATAAGGGGCTATCTAGTATACTTGTGTTCAAACTGTATTGTAGGGTATTGAGGAGATTGTTGAATATGAAGTTTTACACCACGGACTGACTTTCGTCAAACAACTACTGGAAGTACTGAATACTTGGTTCACCCTAGCTAATTCACTCAGTAACCGATCATAGGACTTGCAGTTAGGAGTACAAATTCATTCAAAAGCGAAGACAGAAAGACTGATTCACCAATGAGTATTATCCGCCAACTAGTTGATAAATGCTTACCACGAAACGATCAGGGAAATAGAATATCGGTTTTAGTGGGGTCCTTAAATGGATTCACCTATGTTGACACAAACATATATTACTTAATTAGACAAAATGTGCATTTAAATTTCCTATCTTTATACAAGAAATTAATTATGGAAAAATAAAGACATTCATTTCATCCCATCATGTGTTGTTGGATTTAATTTATTAACAACTGACACTGTCTACACTGAATAGGAAATAATTTTAAGCATTTCAATTAAATGGAAAATATAAAAACCTAGAGGTGAACAATGCAACATTTTGATGACAAACTCAAATAGCAATTGTTGTACTTGAGTTTCATAAAAGTGAAAAAAAATACTAGAATGGGTAGATGGAGAGTTGGATAGAAAAAGATACATATAAAAACCTGTAAGAATTCAAAGTTTGTGAGATGAATGAATGCAGTTAAAATTTATTTCCTGACGTACTTCCCAAATATTATTAAAATGATACTGTTATCGATAAATAGGTTAAGTAGGGTTTAATGTATCTTATCTGTTTTCTCTGCTTATTTAAAAGATTTTCAATCGTCATAGTCACAATTTCAAGTCTTAATAACTTAAAAAGAAAAAAGACAGGAGAAAGGATTGCCTCAAATAACAGAAAATTAGTGGATGCTTGTGTTTTATAGTGAATCGATAAAAACCACAGTGGAGAATGAAAAAATCCATGATATTACAAATATACGGTGGAGTTCGCCAAAGAACGACCTGTCTAATGTAAACTGTTCAACATAGGGGTCAATCATTCATCGACCTTTTTTTGTAGTATTCTCAATAATTATTGGAAAGTGAAGTTACGATAAGTATCTATCAGTTATGACACATGGAAAATTTGAAAAAGTACTTCAAAGGTGGATTGCCTTTTTTGATGAATTGTATTTTCATTTCTGGTTAGCGTTTTTTTAGCGAGTTTAGACGATCTGGCCCTTCTATCCCAAACGCAACAACAGATGCAGGAGAAGACAAACAGTGTGGCAGCAACAATAGGTCTCAATATACACAAAGGGAAAAGCAAGATTCTCCGATACAACACAGAATGCACCAATCCAGTCACAATTGATGGAGCAGATTTGGAAGATGTAAAAACCTTTACGTATTTGGGCAGCATCATTGATGAACAGGGTGGATCTGATGAAGATGAGAAGGCGCAGATCGGCAAAGCAAGAGCAGCATATTTACAACTGAGGAACATCTGGAACTCAAAGCAACTGTCAACCAACACCAAGGTCAGGATTTTCAATACAAATGTCAAGACAGTTCTACTGTATGGGGCAGAAACCTGGAGAACTACAAAAGCCATCATCCAGAAAATACAGGTGTTTATTAACAATTGTCTACGCAAAATACTTCAGATCCATTGGCCGGACACTATTAGCAACAACCTACTGTGGGAGAGAACAAACCAGATCCCAGTGGAGGAAGAAATCAGGAAGAAGCGCTGGAAGTGGATAGGACACACATTGAGGAAAGCACCCAACTCCGTCACAAGACAAGCCCTCACATGGAATCCTGAAGGTCAAAGGAAAAGAGGAAGACCAAAGAACACATTACGCCGAGAAATGGAGATAGACATGAGAAAAATGAACAAGAATTGGATGGAACTAGAAAAGAAGGCCCAGGACAGAGTGGGTTGGAGAATGCTGGTCAGCGGCCTATGCTCCATTGGGGGTAACAGGCGTAAGTAAGTAAGTATTTTCATTTCCGTAAAACAAAGTAATCACTCTTGACAATATAATGTATTATTAATAATTATATACAAATTAGACATTATATTTACTTGTAAACGTTGGAAATTTATTATGCTGAGCCAATGTTATCTTAGACGTGTTGAGATTATAAAACTCACTATTGCTTCTTTTTTAATGCAGTGTCACAAGAAACGAAATATGCATTTTGTCAGCTAAACTTATAAAAAAAATAAACCTACTGGTAAATCTAGAGAAAGATGAAGGATTTCCTTCAAAGAAAACAATTAAGAGAATATAATAAAGGAAAACATAAGACTAAAAATAATAAAAAAATGTAACCGGGTAGTTATAACTCATAGACATATTATTATTACTATATGAACAAAATACTATGAATACGAACAAGATACATCCTCCGAATTACGACAAACAAGCGACTATACTGGAAAAAATATTAACTTTCAACTTTTTGAGATAAGGTATATAAACAAGAATATGTAACAAAAAACACTATACACTTCAAGTATATAAAAACCTAGGATGAATGGCATTTTTAGCATTTTAAGATTGATAGTAATGGAGTTTTGAAAATATTCGAAAGTGTCCTGTACAGTTTGAAAACCATTGCATATATCATCTTTTCTTTGTTAACAAGTTGATAATTGATAATACTTCAGATAATTTCTGATGAAATATTCGAAGATATGAGGACATAAACACCGCTCAGAAAAATGAATAAATGGCTTAACCATTTTTAAAGAACTATTATATACAAAATTTAGAACAGTATAACACAACGCTTCATAAAAACACATGAGTATACGGGGAGTGAAAATATGAAAACCCATGAACTTTCAGATTTGAAAAGAAAAACAAGTTATCCATAAAGATGAAATCCACTAATTTATTGACTATTGTGGAAATGGCCTATGTATCAAAAACCAACTACAAGAAAATGTGTCGCGCGACTAGCGTATCATTATAAACCGATTGAACACACGCAGTGACATTATCGGATTACATTACAATGCCGACAGAAAATAAAGCTAGGTAATTTACAAAAAAAATGTAGATAATACATACGGTAGACACATAGTCCTCTCAAATCAAGATGAATTAGATCCCACATAGACAAATAGTAATCCGAAAAAAAACATTACGAGAAACAAAACAAAATAACAAACAACAAAAATGTGTGGTAAAGAATAAAAATTTATTTTATTTTTTTCAATTTTGTATGCAACATTATAAGATAATGAAACAATGAAGAAGATAAGCACATATATAGGATAGAAGAAACACTTACATGTGTATGTAATGTAAATAGATCATTTTCATAGATACTTATCAATATAATTTAGCTGTGACAAAATTGACAATGATGTTTGACACCATTGGAAACTAATAATAATGGACAGTATGACAGTGAATATAATGTAAGACAAACAAATGAAACATAAATGTCATAATACAATGTGAAGAGTCAATAGACGGTAGGCTATTCGAATACTTCGAAGAATTATCTTTTTTTTCTTCATAAATTTGTTATTCATTAATAAATGATGAAGACAAGTGGTCGGTAGACAGACAAATGAATAGATGAATAAAACAATTCACACAACTGAAGATGGTTTTCATACATCAACACTAGTATTGATGGTGCATAACATGAGTGCACATATACGAGTAAACAATTATAATTACTTCTTAAATGAATGAATGAAAATTGAATAAATGTAGAACCAAACTTGAAATATGATTGTTGCTGTTGTGGTGGTAGCATTGGTCTAAAAAAGAGCAAAATATTAAAATTGATTTTGTTCAAAAAGAAAGACGGTGAATGGTTGAATTCTTTCTTCATAGGAAACAAGAAAAAAAACTTATAAAGTAATAACCATAATAATTCACATTGATGTATTTTACTGACATATTTATCATTATAACACATAGTTAATCAGTTCAGTCAAAATCAAGATGGAATCTGGTGTAAGAGTGTGTGGAAAATCAAAATAATCTTGATATTAGCTGATGTACACTTCATTTTATATTGAACTAGAAAAAAAAAGATTGAATCTAAAAATTTACTAACAAAACATAGAGGTAGATGAGATATTGCCATTCGTATGTTCAATATTTGGTGATATCATCTTATGATATTACTGAGGAAGGACAACATTGTCATGAATATAGAACGTTGAAATATGTATTCAAACAATAATGAATATACAATTTTATTGTATATTTAAAAACAAGAAGTATGAAAAGAATATTAGTTAAGTAGATGAATAACAAAAAAGTAGAATGTTTAAATAAACGAAACAATAATTACTCAGTTACATGAACTTTTTAAACATTAGGCAAAGCTTACAAAGTACTAACGTGCATACTTATAATTATATTAAAAGATTTTCGACAAACAAAAACTCATTCAGTTCCCAGTTCTATTGATGAGATTTAGTGCAAAGTGATTTCTCTTTAGAAGATATTGGAGCATTGTAAAGCGGCAGGTTTCACAAAGTCAACAGAAAATGCCCTCGAAAATTGTTGTATGATTGTAGAAAGTTTATCAAGGTTTTAAAATTAGAACGATATACATGTGTATATACTACAGAGTAATGGGAAGACTTCAGATTTAATTCCAGTTACTTGTTAACAGTACACAGTAGGTGAGGAAAAATAATTAAAACATAGAATCAGAATAAGAGGTATGAAGTGGGAAATAACTAAGTTTAGACCGTATATCACTCTACAAGACAGTCAGTTAAAGTTGAATTCTAACTTAGTGACAAAGCAGGATTATAGTTACGGTATGATAACAATGAAAAATAAATATTAATAATAAAAGTAGTGAATAACATAGCGATGGTCGAACATGTGGAAAAAATAGTAAATCAGAAAAACAAAAAGAACCAACTGATAATGATCATTGTACAACTGAATGTAATTTACAAGTTCGAATTTTTGTATTTGTATTTGAACTAAAAATATTGTCTGAAGTAGAGAACAGTGTGGTTAGAAATTTCAAACTATTCAAAGTCACTATCATCAACTTGACTGAAAAGAATACTTCTATCTTATTAGTTTAAAAAGGAATTTAGGTTAGCGTTTATACCAAGTGAATTTTTAGTTCTGGTATACTGTAATAACGTACAAACTAAAAATCAGACATTATGGCTAGGATTATGTAGAATCTGTAATGTGAATAGCGAAGGTCTTCTAATTCTGCCTTCATCATTTAAATTATGAATAAATTTTTTTTAAAAAATCAACAGCTAGTCAATGAACCAGTTATTTGTTGTATTGAAATTCTTTGGAGAAATATTAATACTAAAGGAATTAACTTGTTTTCCGTAAGTACAGTGTATTTTCTTTACGATGGGGCTAGCAGGAGCACTATCGCTGTCAAGTGTAAAGATGCATCATGCAGTAATAGAGAAGTTAAGATCTTGTCTACAGGTTACATGACTAATTAAGTCTATGATATTTGGTCGCACAGTAGGAGTCTAGTAACAGGTAACGCAACTAATGTGAACTCCTTCTATCATATGTAAGAGGACTAGAGTACAAATATCCTTGCCGTGCCAAATAATACGGCTAAGTTAAGTTATCCTGGATAAAAGCATTGATTAGATTTAATAAAACTAAGCGTTAAACAATTTTCGGTAATTTATTTTGCAAGGAGTCATTAACCATTTTTAAATTATCTTTTCCTTAACATACTAGTGAAATACAGGTTGTTGTTGTAGTATATGTAACATTAAGTCTATACACTGAAGCTGATGGTTAAATTATGATCATGTTAAATATTCAATGTTATATTCAGTCAGTCAGCTACAACGTAAGACCAGACATATTATGCATCGGTCCAAGTTGCCATACCTCATTAACACAGCAAGATGAACACCGGATTCATAGAAGTAGTAATAAGTGCTATTCACTAGAATGATAAAAGCTTAATGGTGAATTTACGGAATTCACATTTAACACATAAAGTGTTGTAACAGGACGCTCACTGATTGTCAGTCATAAAGATCAAAGCATACACGTACGACTTATTTTAATTACAACAATCTACTGATGAATAACGAGATGGATAAAATAAAAAGCAAAATAATCTCACATCTCAGCTTTTATGTTTTGGAAAAGAAATACAGGATAATAAATGCAGAAATTAAAAAATTACGAAGAATTTAAAGAAGATAAAACTAAATAATGATTTTGTAGTTATTTCAATATACAAGTTGTTAGTCAACTGTTGAATAGATAAGGATACAGAGTTAAAATTACAACGATCTTTAGATTCTACATATCTGATGGAAAAATTGTATAAAACAAAGTGATGAGGTTATTCGATATTTGTTAATTAAATTACCTAGACGGAAGTAGTGATTTATTGTTAAGCTGGATTATTATTAACGAATAGAAGCATTCTATGAATTTATATTACACACATTCTGCCCACCAACATTATTCGGAAAGGGAAGATGACGATAAGTTGCTGATTGTTAGTGAAATAGAGAAATCGGTAGCTGGATTGAGGTGAAGCAGAGCGACAGGAGTCTATATGTTAATTTAAGGTCTTCAAAGATGGTGCTCCAGGAATTTTCAATGAGGTGTTAAGCGAAGCTTCGAAACCGAACGTAATCCCATTTAACTGGATGTTATGACTAGTCGTTTTCTCTCATAAGGAACGATAAATAATATGGCTCCTAAAATATTAGCTTCCATAATTATCCGAAGTTTATACGAGGTGAATATGAAGAAACCAGGCATATTTGACTACAACCCTAGTCTTCGAAGTGCTGACAGGATTAGACCAATTTATTGGCAGCGTTCGTGATCAAAAGACAACACAAAGCTGTATCAACAACAGATAGGGTTGGTCTTTAGAAAGTTTCAACACTGATGTCTGTTGTCTCTCCGAGACCGGTATTCAAGACTCTAGTGAGGTACTACAAATTCGATCTTCATATGTCGCTTCGGAAAGTTTGCTTTGCGTGCGTTCATCCGCGGATTCTGTAGCATATTCGTCTGGTTTTTCTGGCGTCAATGTCGCAATAAGCTCCAGAGCTAAGGCAACACTGATCGATTGGATCCCCATTAACGGTCGGTTGTGTTGTTAGATTAGAAAGCACCATCGAAGCATGAAAAAATTGGTGTGAGAAACGATGTCTTTTCGTCATCTCCGTCACGCTTCAACAGACTACAGCCCGGATGAAATCAAGGATGAGTTTTACTACCAGTTAACTGTTCTTCTCCAGAAAGTGCATTCGGCAGATATTGTAGTACTAGTCAGAGATTCGAATGCTCAAGTCGGGCGTCTAGGCACAGAAGAGAGTCGTTTAGGTGGTCGATGGGGATTGGTTGATCGCAGGTTAGATAACGGGGTCAGTCTACTGCAACTGTGCGCGGACCACAACCTGTTTCTGACTGGCAGTAACTACCAGCACAGTCATAACCGGTGTGACACCTGGCTTCCTCCCTCTGCATCTCAAGCCTGGACTCAGACTGATCACATCGCGATCAGCTACCACTGGCGTGGTTATGTACACGACTGCCACAGCTTTTGTAGTACCTATCTGGACTCTGATCATGCCCTTGTTTGCGCTAATCTTACCTTACTTTTAGTGACCAACAAATTCATCGTCCTAAACGGATCTAATTCAGTAAATTGGTTGCAGCTTCTGTTGCAACTAAATATCAAACCGAGCTAGGTTCAATGCTAGCTACCATCCCACCGAAAAGTATAGATGAGCATCGGCTGCAGTTGCACGACCACAGACGATGACTGTTACGTAATGAAACTAGGCAAAACTTGCAGAAGGACCGAGAAGCTTGATGGTCGGAGAGTGCCAATGAGTCGGAAGCAGCAGCTGCATTTGGTAACTGCCGGAAGCTCTTTCAAGTCATCCGAGCCAATGGCAGTAAGAAGTCTGGTGTGAGTGAAACAATCTGTGAAGGTGACGGTATGCCAATCACTAATGTCTATCGACGTCTTGGACGACGGGCAAAGTTTTTCGTGTAGCAGATTCACTGGTCCTTTGCCCCGGCAACATCGACCAGACGGTCCTGCTCTCCATGACCTGTGACGGCTGATCCACCTAACGAGGTGTAAGTCCGCAAGGAAATCCAACTTTTGAAGCAACACAAATCGCCAGGCCCAAAAGACTTACCTCTGGCCCTTTTTAAAGATGGTGATGATTTTCTGGTTGAGGAACTGGCTGAGTTGTTTACAAAGGTCTGGCAATTAGTGTTCCAACATCATGGAATGAGTCGATAGTTGTTCCTATCTTTAAAAAGGGTTCGCATCGTTTCCGCAACAACTATCGGAGGTAAGTCTACTTCCAATTACGTCCAAAATATTGGCTTCCGTCATACTTCGTAGATTGTTCAAAACCTGTTAGCGGAATAAAGATTGGATAAAAGCATGTTCTGTGCAGCATTATGTTGGGGCGCACTGACTTGCTATTCCTTATCCAGTCGGCGCCAGTGGATACTTGGAAAAGACTCGAGAATCTTCTTGTGTAAAAACTATAAATATACTAGTGTTTTTCTTATTGTAATTCCTACTTCCATCTGCCCTTGTTATTTGGAATATAATTTCGTCCATGTTCAACAGTGTTCTGATTTGGAAACTTGTCGAGTGAATTGGTGTCCAATAATACTGAGCAATAGGAAAAAATGGGCTTTGATAAGAGAAATTATAACAGAATCTGAGAAAGCTTGACTCACGGACAGGTTGATCGAAGATGTATTGATCATATCTTCACCCTCCTCCAAATGTTAGAAAACCGTCATACTTATCACAGGCCAACAACCGTAGTGTTTCTTGACATTCGTTGGACAGGACAAGAGTGTGCCTGAGAAGTTTACTAGCATATTAAAAGCCCTATATACCAACACCTCAGGGAGTGTGGGCATACAACCACCCCCCACTGTCCCATTCAAGCGGTAAGGCTAGACAGAGTTGCCCAATCTCATCATTCCTCTCCAACTTTGTCATCGATGACGTTTTGGAGACAGATCCAATGGATGTAGGTGATGATGGTATGGATCTGTTGCCGGAAGAAGGACTTCTCGACCTTGAATATGAGGATGCTATTGTCTGTGTGATGATACCCAAGACATGCGATCCGCACCCAATCAGTTGGCAGTCAGTGTCCGTAGGTATGGTATGTGCTTTGCACCTTCGAAGTGCAAAGTACTTCTACAAGACTGGCAGGACTGTAATCCTGTACTCATCCTGGATAGTGAGAAGATAGAAGTAGTCGAGAGGTTCGTGTATCTAGGTAGCTGCATAAGTGCTGGTGGTGGAGTGAGTGATGAGATCAGTGCACGTATAGTGAGAGCCAGAGCGGCTTATGCCAATCTGCACCAACTTTGGCGCCTTCGTGATGTCAGTCTGGCTGTAAAAGGTCGGATCTACAACGCGTCGATGAGAGCAGTTTTGCTCTATGCTTGTGAAACCTGGCCCTTCCGAGTTGAGGATGTTAGACGACTATCTGTGTTTTATCGTCGTTGTCTCTGAAGGATTACTGACATCCAGTGGCAACACCATGTCAGTAATGTAGAGGTTTGGGTACAGAGACGGTAATTCAATTGGCGTCATTATCTTGAAACATTGGTTTCGGTGGCTTGGAAATTTTCTACGAATGCCGTCCCAGAGAATTCCTCGTCGTGCATTACCTGACGATTTCGGGACTGGTTGGAAAAAGCGAGGTGTTTAGTGTATGACATGGTGTCGTGGTATGAAAGAAAACCACACAGAACTGGCTTCTGTTGGTCCTTCACGAATCCCTGGTTGGGTCCTAGAGATGGTGCAACACTGGGTAGAGACGTTGCCAGACATGGTTCAAAATAGAGACCAGTGGTGATGCTGCTGTAACTTTCTTTTACTTTCATCAATATAGCAAACGTAGCTTCTTTAACTGAAAGAATTCTTTCTGGTTGTACTTTTGCTAACTGAACTGTTTTTATTATTATTATTATTTCACTCTCATACACTAATTTATGTTCATTGTTCTTCTTATTATACGTACTTTACATTTTCTATCTCTTCATAACCTCATTGTTATTGTGTTGCGCATATGTATTTGGTGCCCCGTTGTACCAATGTTTATGTGTTCAGATGAACAAATAAATATCGACCTCTTGAAGGTTCATTACTCGGATAATATCGTTGGAGTCAGAATTTATAACAAACTGTTATTTAGATGAACTAAGTCGACAGATTTTCGTCTGAGCAATTCACTTTGATCACAGATATGACTTTTCCTATGTAGAGACTTACCAATTTATAGTATGCAGATGACGTAGTGCTGTTCGGTGAAAGGGATAAAAAATGCATAGCCTTTCATAAATGATCAAAGAACGTTCAGGTGTATTTTCTTTACCAAAACAAGCAAAATACTACCTCAAGGTAAGGTTGTGTTAATGCCTATAAGTGTGTAGTAGTCAGGTGTGTTGCTCACTTAACTTATACTCTAAGTCTCAGCAGATGTGTTCGGCCAGTGGCTGACAAAATTTTGGTACGGATGTGAAACAACCCGCTCTGTTTTCGCCCTGTCAGGGTTGGCCACGTTATTGTTAACATTAATATTTAAAAATCATCACTATAACCGATAAAAATATGACTAAACTAACTTATGCATCATGATGTACATTTCGATAATAAAACTACCGATAAACTATAATAGGCTTTTTTTCATAATTATTCAATGTTGACTTTAAACAATGGTTGAAATTAGCAGTCAAGCCAAATAGAAATGTTCATATTAACCACCAACTTTGGGAACGTATATGTAGACAACTTAAGATAATAAGTAATTGGTTAGATTTTTTAAGTCTTGTTATCAACAGCAGTCAGTCAGTCAGTCAGCTACAACGTTATCAACAGCAGTTTGGTTGTGATCACACCAAAAATTATTTTGGTATTTACCTTGAACTATTAAATTGCTGAACGGTAGTATTATTAACTTAATCTTTATAAAAAGTGAGTATAGTTAATTTTGTTGTTTTCAATTTTATTACACAATAAATTGTATTTCAAGAGAATAGGTAGCTGAGGAAATGAAGCTAGCATAAACCTGATATTGTCAATCATTGGTCTGAGAGAGTTTAGAGTAGGAAATTATCGTCTATCCCATAAAATATGAGTGGATCTCAACTATGTAATAAAATTTTGATTTTAAATGGATATTTCTAAAACTTACTGTTTTGCCTATTTGTTTAAGTGTACAAAAACTATGAAATAAGTCAGAAAGAATGCTTTTTCTGTGTACCGGCTCTTTTCCAGCTTCAGTCACTTAAGTTGATTTACATAGTTATTTTTAAGGAACTGGAAATGTATTCATTAACAATGTGAACGAAAATACAACGATTGAACTATTAGTGAAAAGTATGACACAACATACCTGAGTAATTATTCAGTTTTTATATTACCAGGCTCTGAATCGTCATCAGCATAGTCATCGTCATCTACAGTCTCATGACGGCCATATTCACTACCACGACTTCTTCGAGGACAGGGTGGAGATCGTGATTTCAGTAGCCGCTTGCTACGAATTTCATTTGATATTTCTGAATCTGAAGCACCAGATGTAGATCTTGTATCTGACTGATCACATGAGTGATCTCTCGGGATGTCCGGTGAGCTAAATTTTCCATTATGCACTGATTCCAGTGTTGGAGTATCACCTCCGCTGCGGTCGTTATTGTCATCCTCCTCCTCTGCATCCCAGTCGCTATTTTCACGATTTTCTTCAATACTATGTGAACTGGAAGAATGGTGGTTATCGAATGTAGGATGCTCAGGTTTTATGTTTTGCCTCACAAGTGATGTAGCGTGCTTACCTGTATGATTCGATCTATCTGAATGAGAATTTGATCTCATAGATTTTTCAGACAAATTCTCCCCTTCATTGTTAGATCGGCGAGAAACTATTGAAGAAAGTTCAGAAGACGGAGAATTGGATGATGCAGAAGGAGATGGAGGAGGTGATGGAAGGGCGTATATAGTCAAAAAATGATCACTATGACAGTGATGCATCAGTCCCCAAGCAGTTGAAAAGTTGGCACCACAATATGCACATTCTAAATTCTCTGGTTCACCAACTAAAAAAAGAGAAATACGATCATATTCATTAAAGAAACTCTTTTCAACCTGGATTAAAACAAAAAAGCAATACATTTTCTCAGGGATTCATAATTGGTTTTGGCTTGAGTGAAGTTTAACCGAATGATTATATTAACAAGAAATATTGATATTTACTGGTATTGAATATAAGCTCTCCATATGACTGTAATTATAAAGTAAATAAATATAAGAAAAATCTATTCCGACGGGTTATTTGTTATTGTGTTTTAAAGATACCGACAAAAGTACTAAACTGAGTAGATATAAATGTTACTAGTCACTACATTGATTTAACAGGGCAAGAATTGGGTCTGCCAAGCATTAATTCCACTGAAGAGTGAATGACCTATAGCTTCTATTCCTTCCAATCATTTATTCGTCTACTAACCTTCGATCATGTGTATTCTTGTGTTTTTCATGTTGTAAATGAGCACGTTAATTTATTTGTGGCAAAATCTATTATACTGGACAGCTGTCTTACCATCTGATGTTAGTTCAATTGGAAGCTTAAGTCAATAATTCGGCTACACGAGCAGCCATCACTCGGTTACTTCGTATTACTGTAGGTCACACATCGATTAGCGTTTTATACATTAGCTTTAACAACAACAAACATTGTCGTCTTGCCCAATTCTTCTTGATAACAACATATTGTCAGATCAAGTGTCCGAATGATGACGGTTAAAAATGGATATGGACTGATCAGTGACAACTGGCCTCAAAGCCTCTTAGAAGTTGATATTTTCTAGCTTTAATGTATGAAGAAAAATTCAATTAGTTACAGATAAAATATAGACATTAGAGTTTGACTATATACAGCTTTGATTTGTATAGGCCAATAAAGAGGCTGACTAGGAAAGGAGAAAAGTAATGAAAGTTGTAAACAGAATACTTATAAAATACATTCAAAGTAATTTAAGGAATTGTTGATTTATTGTCATCATGGCCAAACAAACAAAAATGCATAGAAGATTAACCTGAAGACAGGTAACTATTATCATTCAACTTCATCGTAAATCATGGCTAGTGAAAACTATACGGGACATCTAAGTTCGCGGATGACAGACTGAACGTAGTCTTATTTTACACTTACCGGCTCGACAACGACAGCTAGCTCCGCTATCTTTATCCAAACTGCAACCAGCCATTTTATGTGAAATAAGTTCATCAACTTGTTCGAATAAACGACGACAACGTCCACATATCAGAATATCCTCTGAATGTGAATGGACACCTAGAATAAGAATACGCAAACGACAGAATATAAGTTTGTTAGTGAGCCTATACAACTAGCAGTCTTAAAAGTTTTGAATTCATGTATAGATAATTCACAAGAAATAGAGGTTTATATGTATCTTCAAATAACACAGACAGAGAGATTTGGAAAACATTGTATTTAAAAAGATTCACAAAGATAATTGTTTCCATGATCAGAAATTTTAATCTGCCTAAATATATCAAGTGACAGAAATATCCAATTATATCCTTATTTAATTACCTGATAATTTTCATTTCAGTCTAGAGCGAGTCATGGTTACTTCATAACTAGACTTTTGGCATTCATACTTCGTAAACTACATTAAGCTGGAAACTGCAGCTTTTTCGGAAAATCGATTATTCGACTTATTATTATGTGACTACGAAAAGGAACGATGTGACGATTGTATATTGGTGGTTTGAATTTTGTTATCCAGTCAACGTAGACGTAATCTAGAATATGTACTGATTAAAAGGAATTGCATGAAACAGATGGCTCATTTAGCCTTGTAGTGATTCAAAATAGCGGTTGCATGTATGGACAAGATTTTGGTTAACGATATACGTTGCAAAAGAAAACAGGACTTGGAATATATGTCATGCCATAAGCTTAACTTTGAATTTTCTATCAACAACAACAAGCAATAATTATCAAATGATTTTTACACCTTGTTACTATAGTAAAGGATGTGACTAGAGATCCCTAATAATATTCTGTCAAATTACTAAATTTATTTTGCACTTCCAGAGATGATCTGAATGACAACATGAAAATGTATTTATGTGATGTAAGGAGAGTGCTAGTGAGCGGCCTATGCTCCTCCGCGAGGGGTAACAGGCATACGTAAGTAATGAAACGACTGATAAATGGGGAGAATGTTGAACGTCCATTTATTTCTCCTACATATAGGAATATGTCCCCACCAAAAAGTAGACCAATGTTCTCAGTTCTCGAAATTTCTTCAACAATAAACGGTCTACAAACAGGGACAAAGTAATATTAATACTAAAATTATAGTTGAAAATCGTTTAGTTTTTAAATAGCTGATCGAGCAATAAGATTATCAACAGCTTATAGCCTGATCTAATTTTCACTTGATAATGGTTACAAAGTTGTATGCAATAATTAGGGATGATCGGAAATAGAAAATTAATTGAACTTACTTGAATGAGGACTATTACTTTTTGTTGACGAGGCTGTACGATTGGGCTGTTGAACAGTAGGATGGTCAGATTCGAAGGAATGGCCTAGATTTTGTGGGCGATTTAGATGTACGTCGGAATTTTTTTCCACCGGTTGTGAATTTTGATTTGAACTGGTTGTGGATGAGTTTGTTGTGCGAGAGGAAGCAGACGTCACAATTCGATTACGCACTAAAGAGTTGCTGGTTGATTGATCGGGCACAGAACGAACAGGACCAGAGTTTGATGACTGGCGACGATTTGCTGGAGGTATGAGGCTATCCGTTGCAGAAACAAGTGACACTAAATTTTGTCCTCTAGCCCCAGCAGGCAAAGACGAGTTCGAGTTAAAATTATGATTACCAGTATTACCTAACATTCCATCCAAACGAGTACGTTTGGCAGCAAGAGAGTTAGGATTTGTTGAAGACGTGGTTGTTGTGGTGTTCGATAATCTGGTATATTTATTACGTATGTTACCCGCTGTAACTGCTGTTTGGGCACTAGAAACGTTTAAAGCAGACAATGAAGGGGTATGGAACACTGAATTTGCCGCAGCAGCAAAATTAACGAGGTTAGGCTGACCCATAATACCTTCTAAACCAAACTGCTGTAGTGATAGAACAGAATTTCCAGTTATACTGCTAAGGGCTTGAGCTTGTAAGGCAAGTTCTGAAAGGTTAGTGCTGAAAATGTAATCGAAACGAAGTTTGAATATATTGTGGGAAACTCTAGGAATAATCTTGGAAAGTTTCAACACCTTTTCTATGGCATAAATGTTTTTAATGAACAATAGTTAATAAATGGCCACCTCAGTGAAGCGTAGAAAAGTGTTCATTCATGCAACCAAGTCTTTATTACTATTATTCCTAGAAGGGTAATATGGACATACCCTGAAAATAATCACAAAATAGACTAACAGTTTGCCCTCCAACTCATCATATGAACAACTGAAGTCGATTAAAAGTACGGTAATGTTTAGAAACAGACTTACAAGATCCCCCGAGCTCGCTTTTATTGGTAAATAGTCAGTAAAAGACTGAGATCGATACTACTTGAAGTGCGAAACAGTATCTTGCAGAACTCACTCAAAAAGTCCTTGCACTCCGACTTAGGAATTATCAAGAGCTGATGACGTAGAGGACTCAATTTATACATCTGTTTACATCCTATTTTATACAGCCTGCCTCCATGTCAAGGGGGTGATGGTTTAGTACAAACAAATATTTCCTGGTGGTTGATTTTCGAAACTTGTCGAGTTGTGTAAAGTTCTGGGTGTGGTTCTGAATGAAACTTCGTATTTATTACTCTACATCAGTAGCAGCGTCCGATATTGCTTCTAACTTTGTCAACAAACGATCATAATTAACAAGCCGACAAGTGGGTACCACAATATCTAAAGCCATGTGTCGACGACGAGTTGCATAGACGATTATTTAGTGATATTATATTTAAATATACTCGATAATCTGAAGCCAATAGAAATACCCTACTAGGTTTGATTATAAATAACTATAACAGTGTATCCAAAGCAAAACTGAAAATAAAGTTTCGAAGGCAACTAGAGACTCACGAAACAGCAAAAATGAGTCATACCTTGTCAAGGGGTTCCTAGAAAGAGGAATTACTCGATTATTATATACGGAAAGCAAATTACCAGGATGGAAGCGACGAACCAATATTCGATCTCCCTCGCTTGCGGTTTTTCGGTTCGGATGCTATGGTTACATCTGTGATAGAAAAATTAGGCAATGAGATGGGATTATTACTAATAAAACTTGTCAGTAGAGTGAAAATTCGAGATAAGGGGGAAAACCAGTAAAAATGAAAACACCGAGTTTAAAAATGTCTTACCTAAAACCATATTGTAATAAGTTTTTGAATCTTCACCAATAACTGCGGCTCGTGCATTAGTCTCATTTGCGTATTGAATGAACGCATATCCTTTGTGTACTGATATTCCCACGACTGCTCCATATTTCGAGAAAATAGATTCAAGTTCTGTTTTTGTCATGTGCACTGTATTAAGATTTCCAACGAAAACACGCGACTTGAGACTGTTTGGGTCCGTCCTATTAGTAATATTGCTTACGCCAATCATAGTCAATCAATGTGAAGCACAATTGACAAAACAGCCGCCACTTTATATTCCCACCATCTGCGTACGAAGATAAAAAGATATTTGAGTATTTTGAGAGAATAGTTCTCCAGTGATTTCACCCAGTATTTCGAGTGATTTTCCAGGCAGATTTATACTGATTTTTGACGGTATTCCAGGTTTTCATAGTTTAGACAGTTTTAATGGATGTTAGTGAAAGATACTTAATCTACACGTGGTCAAGTAAACTGGATGCACAGTACCAACACTAACATAATCGCATCCAATTTTTTGAAAGAAAATATCATCAACTTTTTAGTGGTGAACAAATGTCTAATATAAATTGTTCAGTAGGTCTTTAAGATTGAGGCTGAAAGCGCTCGATCACGCATGCACACTAGACCACGAGTAGGCCATGCTGCTCATTTCCTGCAACCACTTATCATCTCATATCGAACGCTTTACGACATATTAGTAAATCTCCAAATATATCTCTGAACTCCTTCACTGGTGACCTCTGATTTGACCGGGTTTGCATCCTTCGATTATGCAGGTGTTAATAGTAAAACAGCTGTCAAACTTTGAATATTTCTGACATCGTTATTCTGATAGCTTTGGAACAGAAGTAGCCCATCGTATCATTAAAGATGAACTAAAGGTAGTTTAACAAAGAACATTCTTCTCAGTTATATTATTCACTGGATCTGTACATTCGTATTTGTAGTTGAGCGGTGTAAATCAGCCTGTAATTAAACAGACCATTATTTCATTACTCATAAAATTGGATGAAGTGGTTTTAAAGTATCACACAGGTACTAAATATGCCACAGGTATTCGGAGTTTGACAATCAGTAAAATCTTTATATACGAAGTATACCAAGAAGAAGATATATTTAGAGAGCTATTGGTATGTCAAGGAACTTTTGGTTTAAGCTGGCTAGTAGTTGAAAGAGATGCCTAGCAGGGCGTACCCAGTCGTGATGTGGTGCGAATTCGTGACCGAGAGCCTTCAGTTTGGTGTGTCCAGTAAAACTAATGCGGTCAGCACCGACTGTTGAAGACTTACAAAGCTATTAATTTTAGGGATTTACTTACCAATATAGTACAGATAAAGTGAAATTATTAACTCAAATGGAGATTACAGAGTAGCATAATGTCTTAAATTGATTGCAAATATGAAACATAAAAATTTGGTTTTGTTGAAGTCTAACGGTTTCTAGACTCTTAAGATAAAGGTGACATGGAAACGAGAAGTGATAGCTTGTCTAGTAAATACGGAATACAATAAATAATTCTTTCAGTAATAGCTAGTCCTTAATTATGAAGGAATAATACTGGGTCGTAACAAAAGGTTTTTGATAATTGACGGTATCTAATTTTTACTGAAGTTTTGGTTTTGATCACTTGAAACTGTTTGTATGGGTCTCCTATGAAATCCTGATAAGACAATGGGACGTTTATCTGAAATTATGTGGTATATTTCGAACTTCTTGTCACACATAGGCCTGTCATGGGGCTCTAAATGAATACTAATAAAGACCAACTAAATAAATATTCAGATGATCAGAAGTCGATAATCGTAAAAAAGGAGATGAAAATTAGTTCACTACGGAAAGAATGGGAAGTTATGTGTTTGAGAATCAACGTTATTCGACTGCCGCCACATATTTAAATTCACAGTGGTCCTTCTGATTAGATTCCAAAGATCTCAAAGATGCCAATTGAGAAGTCTGGTTAGACCAAATCCGTACCACTTTTCATATTATAGTACTCAAGGCGACCTAGCTACAATCTTCAGACGGGTGAATAGTGTTTTAACAAATTAATATCTCTTCTCTTCAGAACAGAAACGTTATGAGTACTGTTAGGTATGCAGAGGAATATGCCAATAATTATCGTGTTAAGTCGAATGGTGTCCTTGAACGTTAAATGGACATTTCCCATTGGTCGATGTTTGTTTCACTTGTTAAATATTGTGTAAATGTTGTTTTCTATTTTATGGTACGATGTGGTTTGTTTGGTTAGTATATAAATAGAGTATGTCTGAAATACAATGACTCATAACTCAGAGGCTGTGACTTGTGTTCTGGACTCAACTGGCTGGGCTAGACAGAGAAGCGGGACCAATCGGGACTCTAGGTCGTCCTTACGTGATCTACGTGTCACTGTAATTGATCGATAAAACGCTGCTTATCAAAACCTGCAGTCACACACGTTACAACAAGCACTGTTATAACTTTCGGTTTTACTTCGTCTATTGTTATAACAGTTGGGTTTCCACGTTTCCACGTATGGGACGTTAATTTACCTGAAACGATTACCTAAATTAGATTCTTTCCCAGTGCAGATCACCAACGTAGATGATCTATGTCGAAATGATTAGAGGCCTACTCGAGTTAGACGTGAATGGTGTGACGAACCAACTAACGTTGAAGTCACACCTCGTGGTCAGCACCTTACGTGGACTACCCCATTAACGTATCAAGGTACTATAGATACTTTGAAGACCGTACAACACAAAGGACGTTATTACAGAAATATAGTAGTTAAAGTAGATACAAGCGAAAGTAAGACCACTGCCGCATGGGCCAGTCCATGGCATACGATTAACTAATGCGCGTTGGTTGTACATGACCTTCGCAGGAAGCGATGATCTGTTCGACATTCAGTGATCCAACTTCCGGATGATTTAGCTAGGGCTCAGTGACATTTCACTGGCCCTACACCAGTGTCTATTCTACAGGACTTCAACACAACTCAGATCAAGAACACGTAATTAGCCTGACTATAACGTAAATATATTTCCACACCAAAACCCCGGCACAATCCAATAACAATGAACAACCAATAATAAATGAGTAGTAATAATGATGAGGATAAAAGAATATATAACTCATCCGACACCTTTCAGACCATCTACATGTCCGACCAAGCAGACAACCGATCATTATCATTCTCGCCCACACATCAAGTACATTCCGCAATGTTGATAAGCCCAGAATGAATGTTGTGTCAGTTGACTACCAGCCCTCCCATCTCGTGGCCAACAAGTGAATTTCTTTGCATCAACAGGTGGCTGGATCTACTTATGCCGATACATTCAAACGAAGCCGTATCGGCTTACGGTACGCGATGTCCAGTATAAATTGATGTATGGTAGTGAAATTGTTCATTGAGTGCATGCAAACAGGCACTCGACTTGCTCCTAACTATGTGATTTCCTTTCCACTCATTGATTTCTGCTTCTGACTCACTGGAGGTGGTTACTTGCAACTGCGCAGAAAGAACTGTAATTCTGGTTCTCTCTTTTGGTTGCGAACCGAGTACATGATATAACGCAGGATATCGCAAAAAGAAAAGTATTAATAATCCATCCTTTTTATCACTAACAAAGACATTTGAGTGTTCTGTATTTTTGACATTGATATCAAACTAATTTGTCTCATATCTTCGCAGTTGCATTTCCTGCAAACATATGAAAGAACCTGGCATTATTGTCATCTGATCCTGACGTGTGGAATTATATCCAACAAAATAGTGATCTTTTAACCTTATCTTTCTACATACACCTACATCACTTGATGGCTAAAAGACTGGAGGGCCTGTAGGAGCGTCTTACGGCATTTGTTTTAGTAGGCTACGTGTGTAGTTTATTGTAAATGGCACATATTCAAATCCCGGAAATGATGCTGCGACTGGTTTTAGTTGTAATAATGACTTCGGCAGGTGTATGCCAAGTAGGTGGGGTGTCCATCGTTAATCGTTTACCTAATTTAATGCATTGTATTAGGTATTGGACCAGAACTGCGTTGTTATCAATGTAATTCATTAACACAACCTCACTGTGCAGACTATTTTGATAATCGAACTTTTCCACTAGTTGCCTGTCCAAATGATGGAAGAAATTATTCTAGGTGTGTCAAGATGATTCAGGAAAGTGAGTACACAAGTTTGGTTACTTTCATCTTGGTTCACCCGAATTGAATTCGTATTCCGTAAATCAAGGGATTCTACAAACAAATAAATTTGGTAGTGATTTTGTCGAAATTTCAGTAATTTTCTAAGGTATTATATGTCTTTCGCCCACAATGATGGTAAAAATAGCGAATTATGATGCGAAATTTGTAAAAAATTCAATGGGTTTTCACATACTTAGCTGTGTCGCCAAACATAGCAATTCATTAGACTATTTTTTCCCGTTTTGCATTGCATTCTTTCCCAGTCAACTACATCATAATTTGTTGCGAACAGTGTCTAATACTCAGCTAAAATACTGACAATCTTGAGTTAGCTTAAAACGACCTTGCTCAATGTTTTGCGAAATTTGCCTTTATCGCTCAAAAGTTGACTGGTCATAATGTCTTAAAGCATAACGTTTTGGGTTAATGACTCACGGTATTCAGGATTGTATATAAATTCTTTGGGACATTTTTGTCGCCTTAATTCTAATATGCTATTGCTCCCTGGAATATCAAAACTATTCTGATGTATGTTCAAAATATAACATGGTTACCAGCATCAACCCTATTAAAGTAATTTTATTATAGCAACGCTAATTCTAAGGATGTTGGTTCAACTACATTAACCCATCTGGTTCGAATTTGTAACAAATAACAAATCGACTAGCAGATAGTTTTAGGCTATTTTTAGGAAAAAACTTGGTTTGATGCATCAAGAAATTAAGGCTAATTTGCCTTTAAAATCTTTAATTCAGGTTCATTGTATGAGCTTTATAGTAATTCACTAGTACGGCATGTTTAAGCAGAACAATTTGTTTTATTACTGATTTTCCATAGGATAATTATTACCTCTCTTTTTCAATCGAATCTCCACTAACATATTGGTTTTGTTCTTACTTTAAATATTACTCAAAATTGAAAACCTGAGATTATGACTATGAAAAGTTTCAGCCATTGGTAAGTTTGAGAGGGGTTCCGGTAATCGCGTTCAGCATAGCTCAATATTTGCCATAGATATACGACATTGGTCTCACGGGAACTCATAGATCACTTACACTTTTTTAGTTACTGTTGCCATTGGTTTCGTGATATATACGTTAGTTACTTAGGAAAACATTGACTCAGATGTGAATTTATGACGCAAGTCGATAAAATGTTAGAAAACGTTTCTTTACTACTAAGAGATTCGCGGCTTCCTTCAACATAAAATATCTAAAATAGTTGTTTCGGAGGTGTAAGCTCATACAATCCATAAAATAAACCAACTAATTGAGTTCATAATATTCATGTGGACTTTTAAGCTCACCGTGTTGAGCCAATAATAATTCTGTAGCGATTAAATAAGTATGTAAACAACACTACCCTATTGGGTCGTGTACTACAGTTTTTATATGCCTTAGATCTTATGTTTATTGTAGCCATATCATCTTTTGAATAGAAACTAGTCAACATACTGCAAATACCAATATAATGTTAGGCATTTGTCGCTGTTAATGACAGCTATGAGTGTAGTTTATACCCTTCGACTCGGTTTAGTGTTTTTATGGGCTTTGGTTCCATATATTAGGCATTTTTGTGACTGTCTTGTGAGTTTCTTGTGCCGAACACAGTTTGTTTCTTACAAAAATTTCACATCAAAGACGGATAAAGGATAGTGCACTAGTGAGGCAGAAATCACATATATTTACTGTATACTTATTATTATTTGGATGCCACAAATTGTTGGGGACGATAGATCCCCAAAACTCAAATTTTGTAATTTACTTATCGATTAAATGTGCAGATAGGTCAATTGATGAACTATCGATTAAATGTACAAATAGGTCAATTGATGAACTATCGATTAAATGTTCAAATAGCAGTCAATTGTTGATTAATGTTCAAAAATCTTCCATGACAATATCGATTGTAAATATTTGTATAAATACTCTTGACTTGTATGCTTGATCCGATCTGCCTGCCTGACTTGTTATCTGCTGTTTGTCTGTAGAATACACTTTCTACACCTTACCCAAACTTCTTGATCGAGTTAGCAGAGTTGGGGACAACGGACCAGAAAAGACTATCGAGATTCTGAATCCTTGATCCGATCGATAAGTCACTGTCATATAATCGGCAGTCACTTTGAGCCATAACACAAATATAAAATGATTCATAGGATAATGGACAAAACTGGTATGGAGGTGATAGATTGATGGATCTCATAAAATGACTAAAATCACTTCAATCCTCTTGTCATTAGTCTGTCTATTGCTTTTGCAATTTTTTTCGTTCCAACAATAGACTAGTCATCTTTATATTTTTATAAGTAAACAAAACGCTGATATATAATGATGCTAAGAAAGAAAGGGGAAACCATAGATAAGTGCTTATTATGCATCAAAAACAGATCCAAACTATACTTGAACAAACAAAGTTTAATATGATTCATTTGCATTGATCCTCATTCAAATATGAATGATTCAAAGTAAGTAAGACTCAACATTTAGAAAATTAACGACCTAATATACAAGCACACTCTACAATAGCATAAGATTAAATTTACACCGCACACAAATGTAAATATTGTACTGAGTTATATGACTATTCCTCTGTACCACAGACTCAGTTAAAATGGTTCTTTTTGATAGACTAATTTTCGTAACATTACATTTATAGATGCGTTGCAAGAGTACACTCCAGAAAGATCCTCAGTCGCTCGTTTCTGCTGAGAATTCTATATTGTATCAAAAATATAATGTTGAATAAAGTCAATAAAGTATTAGGAAAAATAATCAGTTTCATTGTAGTGAAGGATTTCCTTGTAGTTTAATAAACCAGTACCAAGCGCCCGTATGTTTTGATGAATATGAGTATTTGCGAACTGTATAACAACTACCCTAGTGTGTTTACCTGTCATCAAATACCTGATAAATGAGGACGCTCGAAGCTGACTCGTCAGTACTTCATAACAAGGATCGATTACTTTCAGTCTTTTAATACCACGAGTAGGGTACTAGTTAACTAAGAAGCTTATATATAATCAGTGTTCTGTCTTGGAGTAGTATTGCTAGGAAATTGAGTCATTAAATCATGTTCGTATATAACACATCACAATTTAAGTTCAATTTTAGAAGTTTACTCGCTATTTCACTAGTATTCGCCGGATTGCATCACTAACATTAATTGTTTATTCGTAAACCATAGACTTTGCATCGATTACAGGTTTTGATGTGTGGAAATGTAGTTTTACATCATAGATATCTCTCAGTGCCTTAATGACAATATAAGTATCTATTTATCTTTTGTTTTACTAACTTTCAAGATTTGGTGAGGAATCGATTCAAAGCACTCCGGTAGCCTGGCACATATATGTGTTGATTAAAATCGCCGTAGCATATCGGCAGAGAGAGATAGAAGTATTAACAGTATCAGTAATAGTGGAAATATAAAGTATGGGAGGAATTACTCTAGAGGAAAGAATGATACTAGGAGATAAAAGGTATGGGTATGTTAAGAAGAAAAAACAGAGTTAGTGTGCACCACTGAGACCAATTTCGAGCCATTTAACCCATTGTTTTCAAGAAATGGGTCAAAATAACTTAGCGCACCTCAACTACTTAGTTTGTACTCGCTTACACAGTTCCGCCCGACAGTCAGTAATTTTATAGACTGATGCCATGCGTTGATTCTGATTTTTCAAACCTATTCTCACATCAGGAAACATCACACATTGAGATAGAACGTGGTTGGAGACACATAAAGCATGTCTAAACTACCTCAGTTGATAAATATTCACTACCTTATCAATCGATTTGTAATTTTTACTTAATATATTGAGTCTTTGCTCAGCATCACTTCATTAATATCTAAATAATACTGCAGTTGTTCATATAAAAAATTCCTACCCATTTATTTATACAGTGTATCTAGATGGAAAATGGACTAGACGTTATTATAGAGATTGTGCTGTAACTGGTGTGATTGGTGCAGAAGATGGTCGATGGTGTATAGATCGTTTGGGTACATATCGTGTTAAAGTTCGATATTGCAATTGTAACAATAAAAATGGATGTAATTCAAGTACACTATTAACTGTTTCAACAACACTTTATATTTTTATGTTCAATGTATTTATATTTTACATTTATCGAATTCTTAAAGTATAGGCATTTAGAATACAAGAAGATGTTCAATTTCTTCTATTTTCTTTTTCAATATGTTTATGAAAACAAACTTATGTAATTGCAACGAATAACTTTTTTAAAAAGATCAAATGATAAATAGGCCATATTGAAATATGAATATAAACTTCTATTTTCATTGTCTATCAAGAGAAATAAGAAAGAGGCCAATCACTGGAAAGTAACTAACTAGAAGGTCATTTACTTCATTATCATTCATTTATTCATTTTTATGCATGATTAAATTATGTATATGTGGTTTCTTTTCTTTTTCATCCGTATAAACATTGCTGGAATATTATTATTATTTTTTCAGGATAACTGTATAAACCACATTTTCTGTATTTTAAATTCATCTGCTTACTCATTGTTAGTAGAAAAAAATGTATATAAACAATGAATAATAATATGAATTGTAAAAGGCATTTTGTCTTTTTATAATCAACAATAGTAACACACTTAAGACAATTGTGTATGTGTTGCTCAATTTCGTGGATTAGTTGAAGTTAGACATTAACACCGTTGGATGCCGGCCGGATCAGTGGTCTAATGGTTAAGCGCTCGCGTGAGAGATTTATAGGTACTGGGTTTGAACCTCACGAGGCAGGATCGTGGATGCGCACTGCTGAGGAGTCCCACAATAGGATGAAACGGCCGTCCAGTGCTTCCAGGTTTTCCATGGTGGTCTAGCTTCAATAGACTTATGATCTGATATGAGTTCTAAGTCTTAAATTGACATGATCGAAGTCAGCAGATGATATGAGACGTTATACTGATATGTAAATTCCACTTCACAAACCTGGACTATATAAAATGATAACGACTTTGCAGAACTACTTGCTAGTACAAAACATTGCTACTAAGACAAGTTTAAACTGATTGTTTATTGGTCGAGTATCAACTTTCGAATAATGAGCCGTAGTTACATCATATAATTGTGTGTAGAATATCTTATAGATTGATGAAAGTTTCGAGTTCATAAATACAGTAGCAAAATATCTGTGTTTAATCGCTACTAATTAGCGTCGACAATCATGATGCAAAACATAAGGGCTGCTCGATAAATGCCTCAAACTATTGAGAAACAAATTCTACTCGTTTTCAAAATTGACGCGACTTAGTTAACTAGGTAAGTGTAGGAAATATAATCTAATCAATTCTAGGTTATAAGTTGATCGTTAATGAGTACAGATGAGAAACACAGTGAATAATAGTCAATAGGGAAGGGATGGTTGTTCGATATCTTTAATAAACCGATAGTATTCATAAAATGCTAACGATTTTTGTACACGATATAAACTACTCACAAAGTAGTAAGTAGCATCGTCAATTTCTACAAAAACCTTTCTTGATAGTTATCAATAGAATTTCTTAGTGAATTGATTCAGTCATTGTAAAAAATCCTTTGGGTGAGAGAACTAGGAAAGGGATTAATTAAGAATACAAAACATTTGGAGGTTAACTGTCACTCATTAACTTTACCTCTTGCATATAAAAAATATTTAGGTATAATAATTGAATATAAAACCAATATGCAACAATTGGTTATCTGTCAGTTGACAGTTTATTTATAAACATTAAGATAAGTTTATAATAAGAGTGTTAAAACTGTAAACAATCTGTTACTAGGTAAAATCAGTAACTTCATTAGTTGAAATCATGAGTCAATTAAAGCTACACCACTATGGAGCCTTGCAAATTACTCAGATATTGTGTTTAATTGGTTCCATCTGGATAGTAGATTTGTAATTATTTAACTATATAGTTAATAGAGAAAAGTTTAAATTTTAGTTATAAACAAATGAAAACATCTAACGAATCCATAAAATACGGGTGAGCAATTATAAACTTATTGTTATCATTACAATAGTATGATATAAATAATCAAGTCACAAAACAACATTGATGCAACACTAATAATCCTGTCAAGTAGTCTTTTCAACTCGGGAAGGTCTTTAGGCAGCTATTAGTTCTCTCCTGGTTTTATATTTCAGAATTTTTTAAATACTAGAAGTGTATATCTAAAAAATCTTAGTTGTATCGGAAATATAAACAACTGTTGTATCCCTATTTACTTAGTAGAGATAAATTTTAAGCTACATATACTACTAACTGACCATAAGGACTTTAGTGTATAGGTTTTCTGGGTACAGACATTCCCTCTACACCTTTAATATCAAATAACGTTATTATTTCTAGAAATAAACACTTTTCATAACATGGTTTGCGAAGGATCTGGTTCATTTGGATAGGTTTTATCAAGGAATGAAAAAATAGAAACTGTGATGAGAACGTTATTCAATGTTTTTCAACTTATGCTATCTTATAAATTTCATTAATCTTATCTACTTGATCGTAAAAAGGTTAAAATCAATTTAATTTCAGCTACTTATGAGTAGTCAGAAATGCTTTAAGGACTCTTTAAATCAACCTTCACTATATTACCTTATATTTTAAAAGCGATGTACTCCGGATTTACCAAGAATTTATTGGCAATTTAGAAATATATACTATATAGAACCGCATCAAATATTACAAATTCGGTGTTTTAAACTTATTCACTGAACATAAAGGTTACTTCGTAATAACTGACTGTACTGAAATTTTTCGATGAAAAATTATTTTGGAATCCGGTGCGTATTGTCCTACTTAAATAATACCATAATTAGTTATTTGCTAATTACACCTGGAAGATGTTTCATCTGAAAACTCTGTAACTATAGGGAAGATAGAATTTCAAAAAGATGGATTACAAATAGGTAGTCTCTAAATGATATCTGTTAAAAAAGCGTTATGATTATGAAGAGTTTTGGTGACCTATCAAGATAACTACGTATCGAAAAGAATCAACCACCGCGTGAGTGAGTTCATATTTTAAACATAATTTCCGATACTATTTAAAGAATCAAATTTTGTTAAGCATTTTACTTAACCCGGAAACTAATTACATAAAATAACATTTCAACATGTTGTGAAACAGATTATTGGCTTCTATTCACGGACGTATCCCTATAGTCAGCGATAGAGCTTAAAAAACAGCGATTCTTGCTAGATAGTTAATGAAATTTAATTTGCTAGTTTTAAGCAGACAACCTATTCAATGTCTCGATGAAGCAGCTAAGTAAAAAAATCACCAAATGATGTTCGTTTATTATTATTATTATCATCATTACTAATACCGCAGGTTCTTTTAGGGTTTTCCTATTAAATAGATATAGTTAGCATATTAAATCGAATCGGTGGCCTGCTTGATTATTTGGGCTACCTGTTTCTAACATCTAAATATTTCAAAAAGTTATGTTTTTAAAAATTTTTTTGTTTTAACACATTATATCTACTAATCGCATAACCTATACAGGCACGTTTATGAAAAGCTTATGACTTTTCGCTGCACAAGTTACAAAAAAGTACAATAAAAGACATTGTTGTCGTTGGCAATATGCAATATGTCGATTCCCGAACTGTTAAATCCTAACTGCCGATCACTAATTACTGAGGTGAACTATCTTCAATTCCTACTAAGTCAAAATATGTATTGTGATTGTAGTGTCATTACAATTCACGAATCTTGGTTAACTAATTTACAAGACGATTGCTTATTATCACTACGTGATTTCAATAATAATAATAATTACTTGAGAATTAATACAAGTACACCTAGATACAACCAATTACTATAAGGAATGTTTTCAAAACAACAACAGCAATTTGTTTTATTACCTAATAAATTATTATTCAAATAAATTTAAAAAATGCAACTTTTAAATTTATTCAACATTGTGTTGTAATTATATCAAATCATAGACTGACTTAATTGCTCAAATGATTACATCATGTTTGAATGCATATATATATATCTACTTCCAGCGCTTCTTCCTGATTTCTTCCTCCGCTGGGATCTGGTTTGTTCTCACCCACAGTAGGTTGTTGTTGATAGTGTCTGGCCAACGGATTCGAAGTATTTTGAGTAGACAGCTGTTAGAACTCAAGGAAAAATTAAAAATCACTTAAAGGTTCCGAATACATTTTATTAATGAACCTTAGTAGATCGAATAAACAAAGTTCATAGAAAGAACTTTATGAATATTCACAGTTATATAAATAAACCTTCTTGAATCATTGACAGATTAAAACTTCAAACGCACAAATCAACTTGAAACCAAATAGATAGTTAATATAAATAGAAAAATAACATCTATTAGTAAACATTTATAAGAAACAATTAATTTTATGCTTATTTCCGGCAATTAGTTAGGGTCAGATATAACTTAATTGTTAGCAATTAAGTAAATAAATAATACTGTCGTTATGTAGTCCAAATAATCATAGGAAAGCATTTTATTCTAATTGTATGTTATCTAAAATAATAACTGTAAAATAGATGAAATGGGCACCCCTTTTTGGGTTAGTCAACAGGTTTATATATATACCGTTGACAGATGGAGATTTTTCGTTGTACCAAAACAAACATTTAACAAACAATATGTTGAAAGTATCAATTTTATTTATTACAATCATTTTGACATTATTGTTGGAGAACATTCATGGAAAAGGTGAGAAGTTGTACACTATTTTATTATTTCAGTGGTTAAGATCATGAGTCAGTTGAAGCTAGACCACCATGGAAAACCTGGAAGCACTGGACGGCCGTCTCGTCCTATTGTGGGACTCCTCGGCAGTGCGCATCCACGACCTCGCCCCTTGCGAGATTGGAACCCAGGACCTATTGGTTTCGCTCACGAGCACTAGCTTCAACTGAATCATGATCTTAACCATTGAAATTACTATAATATCCACAAAACCCATCTGATATTTTATTATTATTAATTTTTTTAAAGTTAGTCAACTGATAGTTACTTTTTATCAAGAAATGACATCACTTATAGGTGACTGATAGTTATCTTCTTGTATCTAGGTTTTATGCTAACTGGCATTCATCAGCAAAGCGTATTTGTAATTTTGAATGAATTGATGCTCCTTGACGGATTCAATCCTATGACATTCAAATACTCAGTCTGAGGCGTTACCACAGAGCCATTAGGTTGACAACTGACCTTATGTATCCACAACTAGACTAGTACTAAGAAGAACTTGACACAAGTTATATTGGTCACTATTGAGTGATCAATCAATTGTAAAAAAGTCATCGTCAAGCTGATATCAGTTTGTCCTATAGAATACATTCAATCAATAGCATACTTCAGTTGAAACAGCTTACGTTATTCCCACATTATATTAAATTGGAATTCATTTTCATAGAAACATTTATCATGTTTAAGTTTAATGAACGTTTAGTTTGATAATATACATACATTTTGATATTGAGTATATCTACAAAAAGGACGATTTGTTTGTAGATAGAGGAATCAGAAAAGAGTATAGTTAGTAAATTGTCAAAAAATGTCGGACTGAAAGTATATTATCCATCAGATTTAGAGTCTTGAAATATGAAAGTTCCGCTATGAACAATTTATTCTGAAAGGCGTAGAATCAGAATAAAAGTATTTTTCAAGTGTCTCTTTACTTCCATTTCTGTTTTTAATTAGTTCCGGTAATTAACCTAACTTATCCCAAAATTTGGCTATCAAAAGACTGTATGTATGTAAAAGCACGAAAACCAGGAGAAATGAATGGGAATTCAGCACATAAATATATGATAGTAATCCGAGAGATATGAGGAAATGATTTGAGAAATAATCAGAAATTAGTAGCACGTCACTATGGCTTTGAATTACGAAATAGTGTTGTAACTAACTGTGCCCCTTAAATTAACTAATCAGGTATACAAATTTGTTTATTACTGATCAATCACAGATAAGTGACTAATGTTATGTTTCTCTAGGACTTTTGTACTAATTATATCTTATCTATAAGTGCGTCATGTCATCTACCTCCAACCGGCCTAATATTTTGAACCTGTGTATAACAATATTCACTGACAATGAATGGGTAAAACAGAACCATAACTTAATTACAAAACGCTCTTCATATATTTGATTAATCTAGTTGCTTAGGAACTGAAACTAGGATCTAGGTGTTTTATCCATTCAAGGTTTTTACACTTCAAACATTGAGCATTGTGACAGGTCCCTAAGAACGTAATAGGAACGCAATTATTTAGATTACGAGTGATTATCTACCTTGTTAGGCACTCTTCAATTCGTTTAAATCCGATAGAATTCAACAAATTTTAGGTGACCGAATGCTTATCATTCAAATTGTGTAATTGGTGAAAACGATGATTAGTTTTCTCCAAGTTTCTTAACCAAATAACTTTGCGTTAACGTTTAAACTTTAAAACGAAGTAGTTGAAACTTGGAAAATATTTTTAAAAACAGATTTATTATTTCCATAACGGCAGTGACTAGCGAAGAATTCACGATTCATACTGGGATCGAACTGAAGACATTTAAACAGTTGACTAGGCATTAGTTTCAATAAAGTGTTATATTAAACTTTAATCAATAATTGCTACCATTTACATTTGTCTTAATCCTTTATATTTTATCAATATTGACAAGAAAATAAAAGATTAAATTTCTAATTTCAATGTACTTTTATATCAATTTCAGGGTGTCGTGCAATTGGAGAGAAATGTAGTAAAACTGTATTTGACAGATGTTGTGGCGATACAGTATGCCATTTAACTTCACCATTTCATGGGAAATGTGTCAAATGCTTAAAAGGGGGTACTCTTTGTATATCGGATAAAAATTGTTGTTCACACAAATGTACTTTAGGAAAGTGTACAAATGAAAAACATCATTATTAAACTGGGGATATTTATAATCAATTAAGGAATTTTAAATGTTGTTCGTAAATAATTTGAATGTGTTTTTGAGAATTTGAATATGATGAATGAATAGTCAATGAAATTTTATATTGTTATCCCATTTTTAGCAACATTGAAACAAAAATATGATCCGACTTATGAAAGAAGAAATTACTTACTTACTTACTTACGCCTGTTAATCTTCGTGAAGGAGCATAGGCCACTCATCAGCATTCTTCATTCAACCCTATCCTGGGTAATCCTTTCCAGCTCTTTCCAGTTGTGATTCATCCTTTTTATATCTACTTCTATTTCCCGACGTAATGTGTTTTTACTCTTCTTTCCGCTTCCCTTCAGGACTCCAAGTTAGGGCTTGTCTGAAAGGAGAAATAATGGATGAGATTTATGTTTTCACGAATATTTATAAACATTCGAGAGAACAAATCTTGGGAATGATTTCCTTTCATAATTCAATAGATAAAAATAGGTGATCTAAAGAATCAAGACTTAGAGCACTTATGAAAGACTGGAGGTTTTGTAGACTTGCTCCCTGTTTTCTAATATATTATTCTTAATTGAATTATTTCCACAAATATGATGATAGGAAATAATATTAAGTATCATGAAGTCTTTGCTCTGAATAGCTTGGGTATTTTGAGATAATTCATGATACCTAAAGAAAAGGGTTATTTAATATGACAATATTTTATGTCTGGATCATGAAATATAAACATTTTAGTTGGGAAGTATTTGGCTTTTAACTGGTAGGTCGTAGATTGGGACCTCAGTTTATTGACTTTCGTTTAGGCGGCAGCGCAGTATGATTAGTCCTAATTTGCAAACACTTGTATTCGATAAATCACTTAGATTTATTTGTTCTTATGTTTACTAAGTTACTGTAAGGGGTCTATCTGCTTGAAGATATATAATGATTGATATTGAATCAAGTATCTATGAGTGACTATATGTCAGTAAAACACACTTCAGATGAATACCATAAAAAAAGCTATTCAAAAATGTTTGTAATTTAAAGAATAAGGTGAACAATTGGGTTGAAGGTAAATAAGAATGCCAAAGTTGATCTTATAAAAACAGGCGTCAAATAAGTAATAAAAGAAATCGTTTATTTGAGTTATCCTTGAAATAATCTGTCCCAGATATCATAGTTAAAATAAAGACTCCTAATTTTCAAGATTACGTAATGTATCACGACAAGCATACATATATTAAGTATTTCGGTTCGGCCGCAAAAGTATTAGTGATCCAAATTTAGAATCTGAATAACCTGAAAACTCTATAAAGATGTAAAGAAATGGAAAACCTAATTCAATATTCATTACTTGGTTTATGAAGATTAAATTAAAGGGGCTGTATGTAAACAATTAGCTTCAGTTTAATCCTAGTATATCATTAATGTTATTTTCAAGAAATGATGGTGTTGTAATGTGTGACTGCAGGTTTTGATAAACAGCGTCTTATCGATCGAATCTGTGACAGTGACACGTAAAACACGTAGTGAACGACCCAGTGCCCTGATTGGTCCTGCTTCGCTGTCTGTCCTAGCCAGTTGAGTCCAGAACACAAGTCACAGCCTCTGAGTTATGAATCATTGTATTTCAGACATACTCTATTTATATACTAACTAAACAAACCACATCGTACCATAAAATAGAAAACAACATTAACACAATATTTAACAAGTGAAACAAACATCGACCAATGGGAAATGTACATTTAAGTTCCAAGGCCACCATAGTCTTAACACAATAATTATTGGTATATTTTCCCTCAGCATCCATAACAGATGGAGGCTTTAAACTACTTATCCGGAAATTTTGACTTTCATTTTTAAAGAAATTAATTACCTGCTATCTACCTTTGAAACCAATGTTGACGCAAATAGTTATTCATTAGAGAAATATTGAACCTTTGATTTGTTTTTACTTAAAACCATTGCAACCAAACGCAAAATCGAGTTCAGAGTCCCAAGTTTTACAAACAAAACATCACTTGTAGATAAGTAAATCCGGATTCAATGGCATAATAATCATCAAGTGTCGTTGGTGATACCTCTTCCACTAAAGATATAGATGAATTCCATGAACCAGTGTTTGTTCGTTGTTGATATTAAATACTGAATCTTGGCATATTCATTTTCTGAACAGATACCTGAATATTGCTTATAACTAAAAGTTTTCTTATATTTTTGCATTGCAGTTACTAACAGGATTCAAGATGTGTGATTTGTACTATTCAATACATTTGTAAGAGGAAATATCAAATAGGTGACATATTCTAACCACCATTATAGCATAAATTCATTAATTGAGCTTCATCTTTTGATTAAGGATTCAAATAGTTTGATAATGTGATAGACTATACTTGGTGTTAATTAAGCTTAATGTCGTAAAATTTACATGAAAACTGTATAGACAATTTCTAGTAATCATGTAAGGTATGTTTATTTGGACTCTCCATACTTTATTCTCAATGGATTCGGAACATGAAATAGAGCAACTGTTATTGTAAAATTAAATTCGAATTGAATTACAGAAATGTATTGCATCAAAAACACCAGAAATACATTTATATGAAAAGAGATATCAGATTAAAAAAGGATCATATCAATGTAGGATGGTGTACAACTAGTATAGACGTTTACTTATACAACAAGTATATTTAAATACCGGAAGTAATTAAATTAGATCCGTATTTGCCTAGTTTGGCAGCTTTGATAGTAGTAAACATGTTTCTGCCTTTTAAGTCTGATATATATATGAGACATTACAACTTTTGCTATTAAAGAACACTTTGCTTGACAAGGAAGATGAAACTTTTCAGCTCGATTTTTGTTATCGTTCTGGTATTTTCATTGCGAGCAAATTATAACGTTGGTAAGTAAATAAATTAGCCATTTATCTATGGTTATATTAGTAATATAGATACATAGGAAATAAATGATCAGATTTCAGATATTTATTTACCATTACCAAATTAGAATAATACTAAATTATGAAGTGGAATGAGATCTATCATTAAACTTCAGTATTTCATTAATAAGCACATTAGAATTGATAACGTTGTTACTTTAGTTTGTTGTTAGCTTAACAACAAAAAATTTCTTTAACAGAAATATAACTATTATCAAAAGGGTGTTTTGTGGACATTTTAGTAATTTAATAGTTGGATTCATGAGTCAAATAAAGCTAGAATACCATGGAAAACCTAGAAGCACTGGAAGTCCGTTTCATCCTAGTTAGACATTAACACCTTTGGATGCCGGCCGGCTCAGTGGTCTAAAGGTTAAGCGTTCGCGCGCGAGACCGATAAGTCCTGGGTTTGAATCCCGCGGGCGGAATTGTGGATGTGCATTGCTGAGTCCCATACTAGAATGAAACGGCCACTCAGCGCTTCCAGGATTTCCATGGTGGTCTAGCTTTAATTGACTCATGAATTTAACTAAGAAATATAATTAATAAATACGATTTAAACAATATTATGACACAATGGTATGATCTACTTATCTGTTACATGTCACTGAATCATAGTATCACATATGAGACCTTAGACAACGTTTTGTTTACGTTGTAATAGAAATGTAGATCGATATATTATAGGACATTCGTAGGATTAATTAACAAAGCATTAAACAATCCAATGAAGCGATCTTGATAGTATTTATAAGTTAAACTATCATTATGGAAATTCATGTTCTTTATGATCAAATAACTAGTTGATATTTAAACCAAGTAGTAAAATATAAAAGAAATATTGAAGTTCTTTTTAAAAATGTTGGCTAAATACACCTCAATACTTAGAAAAAAACATGTCTATTTAGCTTTGCAATATATTTGTATGGGGGTTGTGGAGATTGTTAAGTTTTTGGTTGAGATCATGAATCAATTGATGTTAGACCACCGTTGGAGGAGTCCCATACTAGGACGAAACGGGCGTCCAGTGCTTCCAGGTTTCCAACGGTGGTCTAACATCAATTGATTCATGATCTCAACCAAAAATATATTTGTATTTAGATTGATATTATGAATGGATCAATGTCAGACCACCATTGAAGACGTGGAAGCACTGAACGGCCGTTTTGTGTTAGTATGGGACTCAGCAATGCGCATTCACAGTGCTTCCAGGTTTTCAATGGTGGCTTGACATTGATCCATTCATGATATTAATTTAAACTCAACGATCTCTACAACCCTATACTGATATTTGTATTTAATCATGATGGTTATAATGGTCATTACACTGTCTATTACTCAAAAAATATCAATTAATATTTCAAGCTTAAATGGATGTCTAACGTTTATCAATTTGGTGAAAAACTCGTTGGATTATAAATGCCTTGGATAAAAGATACCATTCGGTAGAATCCATTTAAATGTTTTAATTAAAAGACTTGTTTGATTACAGATGGTGAATAGATTTCAACAGAAATGTTTTGTTTGCCTATCATGGATCACTAAATCCTATAGTGTATAGCTCTAAAGAGGTTTAAGTGTTCACCTTGTTAATCGGTACTAGATTATCAATACATGGGCTGACGTTATTAATATTTAGTTTTGTCAAAACTAAACTTTATTTGTGTGAAATACATTACCAAACATAGAAATAGCTTATAATATTGTAGTGAACGAGTACAACATTATGGACGAGCAAATATATTTTAATGCAACATTATAGAATATCTTGGTGTAATCTGAGAACCATACTGTAAATACTTCATTTGCAAAATATTCATCAATCATCTCAGACTTTGTTGTTCCTTCGTTTTCCCCTCTTAAATTTTCTTAACCCTCTGCCGCCAGACATTCCACTTTTGATTGGTGATATATACCACTTGCATCCGCTGACATCAGTAACACACACCACAATATTATTAATGAAGGTTTAAATGATCACGTTGCCGATATTCAAGACTAAGGTTCAGTCAATCGTTTTGACATATATGCACTCTGTAAGGATTCCCTAGATGTAATCATCATATCACAAGCTATCTAGAATAAATGGTTTGTAGCCAGCTATTTCATCATATCTGAGATTTCTCAGGCAAATATTCCCTGACTACACTGAGTGTCGAACCCAGTACGTTTCGCTTTAAACACCTAGAGTGTTATACATAGAACTGTTGAATCCAGATAGTTGCTAACGGATTCAAATAGCATGACGTTTATATCATTATGAGTAAATGTTTAATTTGCTTGACTTCTGATATTGAAGATTGATTTTGATCATGAAGAATGTGTAAAAGAAAGTTTTACGCTAGAGAATTTTCAGAACTGAAGTAATGGTAGATTGACGAATGTATCGTTTAGAATATGTCAAATATGTTAGAGACTTTTCATTAGGATAAATACAAGAAAATGTAACAAACTTGAAGTTACCTGGATGTTCATGAAATAGAATAATTTTGTTACGTTAACATCGTATCTTCACTTAAATATTATTCAAAATTGATGTTACTTTTATATCTAACTATCTAGTTAAATAATCAAAATCAGTATTAAAATGGTTTATTCTAAAAGTAGCTCAACTGGGATGATTGTTTATGAATTTTATATCAAATAAAAATTTACAACACTTTTTTCATCGTTACGTTCAATTATCCTTGATACTCGTTATGAATTAATCACATGAAGATGAAAAGTACGTCTGTTCATAGAAGGTTTTATGATTTCTTCATTGTATCAGTTAACTTGGGAACATTCCAAGCTGGATCAGAATAACTTAAGTATTACAATTGATCTATTTGGTTTATTTATTTACTTACACAAATTAAAAACTGATATCTTAATTCTCTGCATATTTTCAGATGCTTGTAAAGCAATTGGTGAAACATGTGCAAAAACTATTTTTGACAGATGTTGCGATGGTAGTGTATGTAAACTAAGTGCACCATTTTATGGAGAATGTGTAGAATGTTTAACTTCAGGAAATAGATGTTGGAAACATTCAGAATGTTGTTCAGGGTATTGTAATTGGTTTACATGTCGGGATTTATAAACATTATTGTTTGACCAATCAATATTTGGGAAGCGATCGGTTATTCTGAAAACCTTTTTTTTAAAGAATATAATTTGTAATGCATTATAACTTGTTTTTTTTCTGTAAAACATTTCGAGTTTGACAGTATACACTACTTATCAGTAACTTAAAATAAAAGTCAAAAGTTCTGTGATTAATCATTGGGTAAGTAATTTGATTATTTTAATTGATCATTTCAGTAAGATAGTTTATGGGAGCTCATTTTGTTTTTGTTTTAGTTCAGAATAATCATTATGATAATTTACATTAAAAGGGGTTTTGTAGATATTATAGTAATTTTAGTAGTTGAGATCATCAATCAGCTGAAGCTAGACAACCATGGAAAACTTGGAAGCACTAGACGGCCGTTTCATTCCCATTGTGGGACTCCTCAGCAGTGCTCATCCACGATCTCGCCTCGCGAGATATAAACCCAGGACCTACCGGTCTCGCGCGTGAACTGTTAACTTCTAGACCAATAATTGTCTAACTCTAAAGTCTTTATATTATATGTACTTGAAAAGTAGTTCTTTCCACTAACTGATGCTTCCCATTTTTCAATGGTGGTCCAATATTGATCGGTCCATGATAACTATCAAACTCAATCTCCACAACCCAAGACTGATTATTATGTTTGCTCATGCCGTGTATTTCATTGTGATATTTGGTTCATAAATTGCCTTTATTGGTTCAGTAGTCTCATGTAAATATTCATGTATATTCCGTTAAAGCCTGATAACGACCTAATTGAGAACACTATTGTTCGCTTATATATGTTGTTTTAGTACAGAAAATATGAAACTAAACGGAACAGGTTATAGATAGGAAATGGTGTGAAGTTTCTTGCTTTTGAGGCATACACATTTTTTCATTCCCATCAATATTAATAAAAGACAATATACGGAGATAGAATGATCATCATTTTAGATTGAGAAAAATCTATTTCACATTAAAGGTAAGTAAAGTCAAAGTTTGTTCGAGATATTCTGTTCATCGTAAACCTTTTAAAATGAACAGATATTAAGAGATTTACTTTTAACAATTAATAAGTTTACTTGAATAAGATTTATAATGGAATCTACTTACTGAGGTCTGTGATCGGCTTCCAATTAATTTAACTGTGATCTTTTCGATTCGTAGAGGTAAGAGTTTAAAGACTAACCAACCTAAACATATATCCCATGTGGTATTTTACTTAAAGGCAGTTATAGTGTTAAGTCTATGATTATCGACGAGAAATAGAAATTTGATCGTTTACTGTTGATTATGAATCATTTATCACAAGACTGGTACAGACAAGTCAAAAGAGTTCTAATTAATGTCAGGAAATTAGCCACAATGAGTTGCAAAAAACACAGTGAAAGTTTTCTCTCATCTGGAATTAGTTCAATATTTCAGATGATAAGGCTGTTTTTAAAATAACAGTCAATATTACATTGAAAGTTAAGCCTATACAAAATCATCGGTTGATACTCATGTTGATTAGTCACTGCATAATAAGCATTGTCATGTTTATCTATTCTCTAGTACTTACTGAGTAGTTATATTGATCAAGTTGTGATTTAGTCACTTGTCGAAGTGATGCGATAACACATTCACAATACTTTACTGTTATTTTTTTGAAGCTAATTCTCTAGATATAATCTTGAAAGAGGAAGACAATTTAAGATTCAGTCCTATTCTTGGATCTTTCAGTAGTTATGCATTTTTACTTAAACATTTATTATTATTATTATTACAGTGTGTTTTTAAGTGTCAAATAACCATAAATGAACTCATTGTGGTTAAACAAGTTTTAAGAACATTTAAACTTATATATTTTTTGGTAGATTACTAGTCAATTTACTTGTATAAGAATATTCATCAATTGTGAATGAATGAATCAGTTTATATCTAATTTGTCATTATACATCGAAACCAACTACATAATTTTGTACAACATTCACTACTGGATAAGCACAAATGTTTCTCAGGTAAACATTTTACACAAACTCCTTTAAATAATCCATGTAGTTGACATGTGGAATTTGCACAACATGGTGAAAATATTGTTTTGGTACAATTTTCTCCTTCAAGTTTACAACGACCTATGAAGAAAAAAGAGAACGTAAATAATCAATATCAATGTTTAATTGCAATTTGCCTGATAAATCCATTAAATTATGAGTTTTTCGAAGGCTTTCTTCATTTTAAAATTAATGTTAATTACAGATTAACATTAGATGTAGATGTTGTGTAAGTCATAAGGGCATTCATCAATAGTTTCACTTCAGTTTATGGGTCATCAAAAACTTAGCAGTGAGGTTATAACTTACTAATGATATAACTCACTTTCAGATAACAAGTTGAATGAGATTAAACATATGAACTATTACATTTAGAACCAGAAATACAAATAAATCGTGTTCTTTCCTGAAATTGAATTTCTATGGTTCTGTTTTGTGTAGACTTCTAAGAAGTTTCAAACTAGGTATAAGCAACTGTATAGTTATCACTGATTCCTGATAATATACCAGGTAATAAGTGTTATATTACTAATGTTTATTATTCTGATTAGTTATGGCTGTGTAAGTATACTTGGAAACTCTACCATTCGTAACAGTATAAGAAGTATAACGAATCTAAGCTATGAAACATTTGATTTAAATACATTTTGTGCTAATGGAAAAATAAGTTGTTTCTGGACGTGGTCAATGTGATTCTCTCTCATCAGACTTGTTAGATAAATGTTCCTATAATCATGTTTATATTTATAATAAAGCTCTAACTCAGTTTCAAATGCTTCAAATGTTGGAGTAATTCGTTAGGTTATTTGTTTTAGTGAAATGATATGCCATTAGATACTTATTCATTCAATATTAATTCACAACAAGGATAAAATACAAAATCTAAGAGAACTGATGGTTAGGTAAATACATTGTTCATCTTAAAGTTTTATAAAATGAAGTATTTTATTAGTCTTACATCTATTTTGAAGCTGAAAATTATGGTGATACTTTATTGTCCATTTTTTATGAAATTCGATAGTTTAATAAAACAAAGTTTTAATGTAAATGATAATTATCACAGAGGGGTTTTGTGGAGATTTTAGTAATTTAATAGTTGAATTCATGAGTCGATTAAAGCTAGATCACCATGGAATACCTAGAAGCACTAGACGGCCCTTTTGTCTCAGTATGTGACTACTAAGCAGGCTCATTCATGATCCCACCCCAAAGGATTCGAACCCAGGACCCCAGTGGTCTAGAGGTAAAGCGTTCGCACACGAGGACCGATAGGTTCTGGGTTACAAATGATGATGTTCAGAAATAAATTACATAATTTATTCCTTTGATATAATCCCCTATAAGATTAATACAAACAGTTAATAAACCTTCGGTTAACAGGAAAGTTAATAGTTAATCGTAATAATTTTTGAGGTTGAGCATAAAAATTCCTGAATCGTTTAATCTTGTGTTGAGAAAAACAAGAGTAAAACTGAATAGTACATCCTTGATATTTTGATATTAATAAGCTTAATTTCTGACTGGTTCTCTTGTCAAACTAATAAAAGGGAGTTAAGCATGGCTAGTAATTCACTAGCTTGTAGCATCATTATTCTACATAGAATAAAATGAGATTTCTTGATTTCACTAAACAATTTTCTATTTTATTCCTGGTATAAACTTTAAAGAGCGAATTACATATCAACACACATTGTAACACAAATCGGTTGAGGTTAAATTGTAGTAGCTCTGTAATACTGATGTACTTTTCTATATTTGTTTTGTAGTTTTCATAATATCTCATTTCCACATGAACTAAGTTACCAGTTTATGTAACCATAGCCATCCTTAGTATTATACTAGAAGTTAGTTTAATGAAGCATTTGGATATTGAAGTACATTGAAAATACACACTTACCAATAGTCGATATTCGTTTTATTTACAAAATTTATGATTCAAATAACTTAGTTACACAGTTAGAACGCGTGAAAATGTTCATAAATGACTAATTATCTCCTTCGAGTTTCAAATGAATAACAGTATTTATCATGTATATTAGATGTTGCTAAGGTTACTGTAATAAGGAATACAGATGAAATATAATAAATGGTTGGAAAACTATTGCTTAGTGATCGATCACTTTTAACGAACTAGTTAAAATAACAGATCACTTGTAACTGAATTATCTTGGTCACAACATCACTAAGTTAAAAGATGTGAATTTAAATCTTTATGAAAGCGAAAATTCCCTCAAGATTGAAATTACACCTTGTAGACTACCAACTAATACAAGATGTTTGGCTTAATACAGATTCCTTAAAATCACATAAAGTAAAATATAGTGTTTTGAAATTTCAGATCACTAAGGCTGGTGGTCATGTAGCGACCTAACTCGATTGATTTTAAACATCAGTAGCAGACAAAACTAGATGATATTCATTACTAATGAGCAACCAATATGTGTAAATAATTAAATAAGTTTGGTGTTTATGCGCTTATTTTTTAGTTCGTCTAAATTGAAGGTATTCTTCTTCTGGTGATCGATTGGATTAAGAAGACTTTCACATCTCAAAGGAAGCATGGAATACAGCGGACAGTTTAGATGCAACCAGACGATTTGGACTTCACAGATGACCTAGATCTCCTGTCACATACATATAAAAAAGTGCAGGTAGAAGCAGCCAGTGTAGCAGAAGCCTCTGCAACGGTACATCTCAACATATACAAAAGAATAGCGAAGTCGTCAACTACAACTTAGAGGACGCGAACCCAACCACATTTTATGGAGGAACTTCGGAAGATGTGGAGTCTTTCACGTACCTAGGAGGGATCACCGATGAACGTGGAGGATCTGATGCAGACGTAAAGGCAAGGATTGGCGAACCAAGGAACGCGTTCCTACAACTGAAGAGCAAAAGCAACTCAAAACAACCGTCAACCAATATCAAAGTCACAATTTTTAATAAGAACGTCAAAACACTTCTACTATACAGAGCTAAAGCTTGGAGGACTACTACGGCCATCATCAAAAGGTACAAGTATTTATTAACAATTGTCTACGTAAGATGCTCAGTGTCCTTTAGTCGGATACCAACAGCAACAACCTACTATAGCAGAGGAAAAACCAGCTTTGAGCTAAAGAGCAAATTAGGAATAGGCGTTGGGGGTGAATGATAATTACGTTGCGGAAACCATCAAACTGCATCACGAGGCAAGCGCTAATTTTGAATTCTGAATGAAAACTGAAAAGAGGAAGATCAAGGAACACATTGCGTCGGGAATCAGAATCAGACCTTAAGAGAATGAATAGCAACTGGAAATAACTAGAAAAGACTACTCAGAACAAAGTTCGATGGAGAATGCTAGTGGGTGGCCTAGGCTCTTCCATGAAAGGTAACAAGCGTAATTAAGTAAGTTGAAGTTAAGAAAATATTCGTACTCAATTTCCTAGTGTAAAATATCTAGAGCAGAGAATATAAGCTGTATATGGTTTATATAAAAACAGTAATGATTAGTTACAAACTATTATTCTAATCACTTACACTTTAGAACGTTAAAAATGTTTCCTGAATACAATCATTTTATTAAAGGTTTATATAGGTAAACCAGTCAAACCTTTTAAATAGGGGATTCAGTAGGGTGATACAAACCCATTTATTATTCTGTATAAAGCAAATAGAAAAGTTTACTGGACACAATTAATCTGTGAAATGTGTCATCTGATGATATAAAAACAGAATAAACTGCATTCAGAAACATATCATATTCTCAAAGTGTAATTTTCTTGAAAGTTGACAAAGAACATTTCTTAAATATTTACAAACCACAAAAATAAAATTACACATGTTTAGTCGTGGAGCTTTTATCGTTCTTCTGAACGACATCATCAGCACAAACTTCAGATAGAAGACGATAAAAGCTCCACGACCAAACCATCCAGCTCAGAGAACAAAACTTCATCAAAATCATTCACCTAAGCTACAAATCTTCTCCACGATCTCGTACTTGGATGCTGCACCAAACGATAAGGATTAGTCATGGAACAACAAGAATATAAGCATCACTTACCTGTAAAAGCATCTAATTTCCAATACCATGTTAAGGTTAATAAAATTAAGAAACAACTGTGGTTGATCATAATATTTTTTTGTTATAATTTATTTCTTATACAATGTGAAAATGTTTTTAAAGACTTGGGTATATGTATTGATAAGTTGGAATTATATAGTCCTATATGTTAAGGAAATGTAGTACACTTTTATATAATTTATATAGACATGTAACTTACCATATTGAAAACTTTCTATTTCTACAGGCACAATGGTAGCGATATACTATTCTATTATTCAGTAACTTAACAACATTACAAAATGGGGGCGCATTTCGCTCTACTTGAATGAGAAAAGTCCTTCTAGTATAGTTTAAAGAAATGAAAGTAATTTTATTTGAATACGGGACAGTTCAATAAGATGAAAAAATACATTCCCGTTACAATCGTTTTCGCTTGGTTTGTAAAAAAATGTAAGACATTTGATGTAAAAAAAATTTGTCGACTACTATATAGTTACGAAAGTAATAAAAGCCAGTTGTGTACAACTACAATATAAAATAGTTGAGTGTTTCATAAAGAAATTTGTAAATTAGTTTTGTAACTTAGTTCTCATACAATTGAATCATTCGAGTTATTCAGTCGTGAACCCACATACTAACTAAAACACTTGACGAACTAATGAAATTCGAACTTAAAATAGGTTAATAAATACAAGTATCATGATTAACCTTAAACAAAGTGATAATAGTTCAAATAATATAATGCTAAACATTCAACTTCTTTGTGAAAAATGAATGTCAGTTTGTGAATATTCATAACCTGTAGCTACATACTTGGTTAAACAAGTTTTAATAGTTACCAGTCATAAGAAAAGTAGTACAAAGTATCAAGCGATACTAAGGCTGTTCGTTTTAACCACGTTTTCTACATTAGGTGGTTTCACCGACTCATAAAGCAGTGTTAGACTTAGGTTTCGCGACAATAGGCATTCGCCATATACGAATTGTGATTTCCGTATGAGCATGACGTAGTGTCATTCAGTGGCGATACCATGCTCTGTGACTCATCATATTATCTGACTACGTCATAATAACTAATATCATATCATCTAATCCTTAGCGTCAAGATGGAATGTCACAATCAGTTTATATGATCTGGAATCATAATCCTTTTTTTATAATAAAGATGCTTCGTGATGAAGTGGAATTATGATAAAGAAGCATGTTATCGAAAGCAGTTCATTATTTTCTTGTCTAATAAATTTAAATAAATCAAGAGCTAATGTTTCATTTATTTCTGTTCAATTACACACAAGTTATTATATTTAATTATTTCCAATTAATAGTATGTTGTCAGTATGGGATTGTGGAGATGATTGGATTTTATTAAAATCATGAGATTGAAGGTCTTGGATTGGATTCTCGGTTGCGGAATTGTGGATCCGCACTTCTGATGAGGAATCCCATGCTACTACGAAATGGCCATCGAGTGACTCATGGTTTTCGCGGTATTTGTCTAACTTAATTCGTAATTTCGATAATATTTGGTATTATTGAGAAATAAATTATCAGTCAATCAGGACTATGTTGTATATAGTGAGAAAGAAACTTAGGAACTAGAGTTTTAAAGGCGCATTTTTTATTATTGCTTAAGGTGGTAATTCTATAATATTAAGACAATCTCATTATGTAACGTAAAATATTTTTAGACGAGAACATATGATAATGATAATTATTTGAAGAATAGAAGAGTTAAAATATCGGATTCATTTGTGTTGACAAGGAAGTTGAAGATTAGATAAAAGCCTAGATATGTACTGTTCATCATCATTTATTTTGTAGATAATTTCCATTTGGCTGGGTAGATAGAGGTTCTTTGGGTTTCTAGTGATAAAGATGACTTTTAAATCATCACTTATATGTCATACAACAAAAATGTGCTGACTTTAGAGTTGATTGTTTATGATCCATTATTCTGCCTTAGAAAATAAACTCTGAAATGCTAGTTATTTGAGGCAAACACTACTGCTGCCATATTTTGATTTAGTTAGAAATACAACTTTATTTCTAAGTGTTACATTAAAGGCTTTTAGTTCTATGGCTCTTTAGACGATCTATGCGGCCTTTTAGGACAGCAGGTAAAAACTATTCTTAAAAGTTCATCTTGCTTTGGTCATCAAAAGCCTGACTTTAGGTCAGGAGCCACGGTGGAGTGAGTAGTTAGGATCACCGAAGTAAGTCATTGCTTAGATGGAATTTTATTGCCATTTTAGTTCTCAACATAAATGTCTTAAGAAAGTTAGAAATTTCCCCTGATAACACATGAAATCCAGTACTCTTAGTCAGATCCCATTGATTAATTTAATGGTCTAATATTTATGAGTATGTTATACAGAATAGATTGTGAAGATATGCCGATATGCTGCACGTTCAACCTAATACTGAATTCGTCGAATGTAACATGTGGGTTTTCTCTACCTAATATTTACACATTCACTCACATTGAATTTATATTCATAATTGTCGATTGTTATAGGTGGTGACATCTGATATCCTCTAATCACAACTCGTTATTCGTGGTTGAGTTGGGGGAGGTAACATCCACAAAATTCAGTTCAGTAGGATGGAATTTATCATGTAATTTTTTCTGTAATAAAGCGACTTTTTATATGTATCATATGACTTTCTATTAATTTTTGTACCAGCTTGTCAAAATTCCACAGAGAGAACCAACTTCCTCAAGTTTGTACACCATTATTTTTGGTAGGTAAAAACTAGAACGGAACTCATATTTAAGTCGTTATGTCGAATGCCTTCCGATGAATGATATCTAAGTTAAGAAATAAGAATGCCATTTTTCTATCTTTCATAATATGAAGAAAATTAACAAATTGGATGACCTAATCATCAACGTTTATGGAGAATATTACTTATTACATCTATCAAAAAAGGATAGTCATTAATGTTAAAGTATACATTTTATTAAATAAAATAAATCATTAGATAGTAAGTCATCATCATTACAATAAACAAAATGACAAGAGATAATGAATTATGTTTAGTTTATTGTTCGACAGTACTCAAACATCTGAACCAACTGCATTGTTTTGAACAACATTCATCACCATTCCAACACCATGAAAATGGTTTAAGGCATTCCACACATTTACCAGAGAATGGCCCAGACAATTTACATACTGTATTATTACAGCATGGAGCAAATATAGTTTTTGTACAAACTCCATTCAATGGAACACAGTCGCCTACAAAAATTTATATTCAAGGATAGGGAAATTAAAGAAGTTTGTGGTTGATAAAAAAAAAAAAAACTGTGTACAAGAGCTCGTTCAACTTACCAAATTGTGTATTGTAGTGTCGGTTATTATCTTAAGCCCATATTACCTTATTCTAGCTTTCGGACAGGACAATCTACTACTTCTACTTGAGTCATATTTTGACCTTGTTAATTATTCGCCTATCAATCTTGACTGTTTTTATTTGAGCGTATGTGTGTGTGTTTACACTTCTCATCCCATTACTTATCACATTTCTGTTACTTATTTTTGTGTAACTATAACTATTGGTTAACGTTTGGTTAAATGGGAGTTGGCTTACGAGCCATCACCATTGCGCGTCGTTTTGCTTCTCTCTATTCTATTCGCTTCATATACAAAATATATGTATTCAAAACTCCATTTTCGTTATTTGACTTATTTAATTCCGTTACTGACTAACGCGAATTAAGTCGATGATTATATACGAGGATAGGCGACATATACATTCGATAGGAATCATTCAATAACAATCATTCATACGATCTACTTGGAGTCAGATCTCGGGCCACTAAAGTGGAGATCCCGTCAACAAACATTGTCCGATCTAAATGACGACAAAATAAAGGGCCCCACTAAAGTATATTCATATTACTTCATTTAAGATGGAGTGTGAGGTCTTTTTTTTACCAAAATGAAGATAATAAGTCAGTGATAGATGTTTCATTTTAAGCTAGAGACTAACTGATATGCTTTTGTAACATATTGTCAATTTAATTAGATAGGTTTTCTGCATGAATATTGATGAGAAACATCGTTACTTTTATAATTAATTTTGTTCTTATTTCGGTTTTAGTTAAGTATCGATTCAGTTAGTTCACTAATTGATTGATAGAATTCATTGATCACTTAGGAGAATATAACATGAAGTTGGTTACTACAAAAGGATAGATTAATTCAAATAACTTAGTACCATGACAGATAATTTACAATACAGATAACTTAATATTAACATCTGTGATTGAGACACAAAGTAATCCGGATTCAAATCCCACAGAGTTTAACAGTTTCTTGAACATATACCTAAATTTCTATCAACTACTACTAACCACCTGGAATTAAACAGTTTGATCCTACTATTTCTATGAAAGCACATGTTTTTGAAACTTGATGGATTTTAAATTGAATCTGTACTCAAACTATGGGTTCTAAATTGCTACTATTTAACCTAGTTTCACTGGTTATGTATCTCATATATATAGTTTATAAGATTTTCCTTATTTACCTAGGAAAAGATAAGTGAAGTTCCAGATCTTAAGGATGTCCGATGACGATTTTCATAATTGTAACGCTAGTTAATTTCAAGTAGTTGAAATATTTAGTGTTCATTAGTACAAGACCAGATATAGATTGTTCAGGATCATATGTTTTTAGAGGCTTCTCTTTATCTCCATGGATATAAGTCCGAAATAGTCATTCCATAACCTTGAAATTCCCGGTGATGAGTATGAGTTTTACTACTCTACTTATTGGCAATTTAATTTCAACTTTTGCTTCAATCATTAATGATCAGTTAATAACATAGTACATTGCTTTAAACCGAATCATTTGTATAAGGTGCAACAGTAAAAAAAAGAAAAGTCAATCACATACTGGTCATTCGTTAGGATTCGAACAAGATAGATGTATCTGTAAAACAACGATTAATTTTAAACGTATGTCATTTAGAGTACATAATTAATAATTTTTACTAAATTGTCGACATTGGCGCGAAAAGCAAACAGCTTCTCAGATGGATGATAGGCACATTTAGTGACTTCATTTGTCAACCGAATATTCTCGTCTGATAACACTCGATTCAACGTAACTCTTTTTCATCTTACAACTTGCACTGAATAAAGATAACCAGACATAGGTGGCAACTAGTTCAGACACTCGAGTAAAAATAATTTCATAGACTGTTAAACTGCTGTTACATACTTTTAAATCATGACATAGTTCATCATTTCTCGTCTATAGGCTTTATTACAAGCAGATGTTTTCAGTAATAATTCTTTCCATACTTTAATACTAGATGCTGTTATCCACTGCTTTTCTACAAATCCTTTCCACTACATAAACTTCACTAAACAAGTATCGGTCATTTAGTAAAACTTAGTTCACTGTGATTGCTAATGACGTAGCAGTTTGAAACCTACCATTAGTTGATGAACAATTTAATTCTTACAAACAGATTTTAACTGACTGAAGTTATGTATGATTAAGAGATAATGAACTTTATACAAGAAATGTTTACAAAGTCAACAACTATGGTATCTAAGATCTATGAATCAATCAGTGTTTTTATATAATTCGGAAATATGAGAATCTCATTAGTTATTTGA